GAGGGCGTTGCAGAGGTAGCAGTAGTGAGATTGGGGGGTGGAGAGGAGGGTTTTGGAGAGCCATTTGTGGTCGCAGGGAGGGAGGATGGTGGGGGGTGGGATGCGGGTATGGAGGGAGGTGGAGGTGAGGCGGAGGGAGACGCGGTGGCAGGGGCGGAGGTAGGAAACTATTTCGTGGAGAAGCTCGTTTGGGAGGGCCGTCAGATGGGCCGGTTGACGCGATGTGTCCATAGTAACACTCGCCTGCTGGTTACACCACCCCAACCGTCCCTCAAGCGCTGATTCGAAGGTTAGAGAGACTGGTATCGTTAATCCATCTGGTCCGCGTAAGGGAAGATATAGGCGCCGGAGGAGATGGCTTATAAGCCTCTCTACACACTGCTTCATCGTCGCGGAGGGGTGACTGTCCGTCGTGGAAGATACCGACCCATGGAGCATGGTGAGGAGTTTTATGAGACGCCTGTGATCCAGGGGAAGTACTGCAGTCAGTTTAACAGCCATCTTCTATCCACGTGTCTGGGATTATTGTATGGCAGACTCACGGCATGTTGGCATATCCACTGTCAGAAAGTTTACTGGTCGTACGTGCCATGACTCCGTCAGGAGTGATTTCACTATACGCTGTCCTTTCTATGTTCTGCAGCATCGGATCCATCGTGGACGAACGGATAGTCTTATAGATCAGTCTCCACGCTAACAGTCTATTGAGATATCGACAATAACGATGCTGTAGTGTTCAAGAGCCAGATCTCAGGAGATATGATAGTGTTTTCACGACTTCGTCTTGCCCAACCTATTGACAGTCCGGATTGTTTGGCGCCGTTCGAGCCTGTGTAACAATAGTCATGCGTAAAAGAAGCAGCATCATCTGTTGGCAAAAGGACTTGAGTGCAAGAATCAGAAGAAAGGGGCACTACCGAAAAATCAAGGACATCAACACGCAGACCAAAACAGCATGCAAGGAGTGAAGCAGAATGAAACGGGTGAAATTAGAAGCAAAGCCATCATTTCCAGCCAGGACATCTTGGAAGGAAAGCAGGGATATCCGATCCTTATCACCTTCAGTTTGCCTTGTCTCCCATGCTTGTATCACCCACTGAGACCTGACATCATTTCCGCTCTGTTCCCAGGGGGGGGAATACGGTTCCAGCCGTGCCGCAGAAATAAGAAGGGATACACATGACCTTCTGAATCTGATCAACCACATTGTATTCGGTCTCTGTCGAAGGTTGGAGGGTGCAGACAGTCCTCTGACGCGCTGACTGGTGTCACGGAAAGCGGATGACCACAGGTGGCTCACACGACGACGGAAACACTAGTTGGTCTGCTCTTTCGCGTGACGCTCTGAATCAGTTCTGGTAGGGGCCCATTCTGATATCATCTTATTATATATTATGTGACCTTCATAGTAGATGACAGAAGTAGGTCATATCAGAATGGAACATTGTACTGGATGGTGGATGCAGGTTGATGTGTGAACTGTGAAGTTGTGATGAGGTGTAGTAGAGTGGAACAGCCAAACGCTAGTAATAACTAATGGAAATTAATCGCCCAATTTAACCTAAGTTAGCACATGATTTCCCCAGAGCAGCCTCGCGATGTGTTCGCAACGCATTTTAAGGCCTTGCACTCCTTGCTGACCTTTCAAGACCTCGAAGCATATTAAAAGTTGAAGTAGAGGTTCACTTGCAGTATATTCAGATCATGCGACTTCTTGTACCAAAATTCCTGATCGATGCCACCCATGACCTGTAGCTGAAACTCCCAATAATCTCACTCTATGAATACACATTGATTATACCAACGGCGCTGATGAACAGTACTGGCAAACTCCGAGAGCGCTATCTCGGCTACTTTGCCTTCCTCTGCTACAGTTTTCGCAATGGCCTCGTTTAACTTAAGCCACAGGCCCACGATATTCTCCGCAGCTCACGGAGACTCTAAGGCGCTTTCAAGAGGACACAGAGCAACTTAAAGCGGAGAGAACACGGCGTTATAGCGACTCTCCTCCTTCCTACCAGACATCTGGCACCACCACGTAACCTGATACTCCCGGGGCAAGTGAAGAAGCGAATGAGATGACCAGGTACTACGATCGAATATTTGACCGCCGACGTTCGAAACCCGTCGCACAGTTCGAAAGCCAAGTCCGTAGGGAGAGAACGAATATTATATCAAGGGCAAGAGGAAAGACTCGGGCGGAGGCAGACGCTACGTTTTGACCAATCTTCTGATTACCGAGCAAATTCCGAGAATAATGTCAGGGCTCGCTGGATTGAACGACGGATCTGGAGAAGAGAATGGGCCTGCATGGCCTCGTGATTCCCGCTCTTCAACGAATACATGGAGCTCGTCTTCAATATCGAGAAGTTTCAGAGGGCCACGAATCGCCGATGGAACAGAATACACCGCCTACTGGGTTCATGAGCAGAGTGCGATGGAACCCGTTCGACCGCATACAGATAATAGGACCGGCACAGACCGCTCCCAAACTAACGCAGAATATGCAACAGAAGAGATATTGAAATTACGAGCGGTTTCAGACAGTCTTGCAGCGGAAATCCTACGATATTCTGCGTCCGAATAAGATGTGGAAGAGGAAGAAGAAATACAACCTAGTCGGGATGCATCAATCATTGGAATGGGTCGGGTCCTCAGTCGCAAAAAGCGTCGAAGGCGGGAGAGAGAATCTAAAATTATCGAAAAGCAACAAGCGTTGCTGAGGGATCATGATGCGCTTCTTACCATCAAGAGTCATGCTGATCTATTCTCAACGTTGAAGCTGGATATTGCAGCCTCGCGGCCCCGAAACCAATTTCTTTTCCAGTTGTCTAAAGAGCGAGAATGGATTCAAGACGAGTTCGACTACAGTGGAAAACTCGACATCGATGTTGATGAAGTGGCATATGAGAGCGTCAAAGCACAACGGGTGGAAGACAAAATTTGGAATCCGAAGTGAGGACGGCTACCCGGCGAGACCTGGATTCATGAGGATAAGGACGTGAGTGGACCTTTAACGCCCGAAGCAGTGGAAATGATAAGGGTTCAGAATCAGCGGCTGGAAGCCCTGCAGGAGGCAAGGCAAAAGCTGGTCGCTACGATGTCTCCGTCCTCAGCAGGGAAGACGGCAAGTCATATCCCTCGGCAGACGAAAGCCGTGCAGGCTGCTGGGCAAAGGGAGGCACCATGAAGTCTTTGCCTACCACCGGTAGAGCTACCCTTCAGAACGACACGACCGACACAAGTTAATACCTTAAACGAAAACGCGACCAGCAAGAACCATACCGTGCCTCCTTTGTGCGGGAAGAGTCGACCGCCAGACTAATTGAAGCGAATCCCTGGTCGGGTCAAGCCAGATACCGCAGGACCTGGGGAGATTCACCAAACGGTGGGTCTAGTTAAGCTAGCAACACTTGATTGGATTTTCTAGACTGGACACAGCGTTTGGATATTGATAGATGGGATGAGACATGTCTAATGAACTAATGTAGGCCCCTTCAGATCTCTTGCTATGTCTCCTGGTTAATAACATGTGAAATATTCCTGAATTGCCTATGATTTCTAAGGTAGGATAAACAAAAACTATCTTTATCATTGTAAGTTATGTATCTAAGTCATAAAAATTTGTTATGATACACACTTCACTGTTGTCACGGTCCTACGATGAGTGGTGGCCCCTATGAAGATCAGATCAGGAGTTTTGACCACGTGATGAGAGGTCACGTGGTGGTGGTTTCTGTGGAGTGTTGCATTTCACCCACCACGGATACGTCTAACTCAGTCCTCCTACCTTTCCTTTTTTCTTTCTCCCTTCTTTAGCTTAATTCTAGCGAATAAACCTATTCAAACTGCTCACTGAGTGACCCTAGGTGTCATCATCACAGGTTCAGTAATTAGTTGGGATGTCGGACATGATACTTAAGACCGAAGTTGATTTCATCATATTTCGTAATGGGAGCAAATGAGAATTGCGGCGCGTTGCGGCGCGTTCCGTGCGCCCACCATGAGCCCAGCTGGGTCAGAAATGTGTGAACGTGTCGCGATCTAGGGGACGATCCTAGGACCTAGAGTTGTAGTAGATTAATAGACTTGATTCGATGAATGGTGCAGTCATGAATGGCGCAACGGGGTGAGTGGCATACGTGATCGTCTGGGATCGTCTGTCAAGACTGAGCTTGTCCACTGCGATATCTGACACCAGCAACGATCGATAGATAACAAATGGTTAATTGTAAAGTTGCGTGATCTGTATGGTATATTCGATAATACGCGGGGAGTTTTGAAAATGTGCCGAATATCCGCCAGGATATATAAAATCAGGACTCAACGGCACTGGAAAGGAAGGTAGAAACACTCAGATTACAATTTGAACTCATTCAACAACGGAATATTTTAGCAAATATGGCACCCTCAGCAATTGTGGCTCCCGCAGTGACGGAACAGGATGTTCCAATCGCTACCAAAGGCAGACCGCTGCCGTTGGAATCGTCCGGTCTCCTTGATCAATTCGAGCAATTTGATGTAACTCCAGTCATCGGCACGGAATTCTCAAGTGCCAAACTGGTCGAGTGGATTAATGCTCCAAATGCAGATGAACTCTTGAAGGAGTTGGCCATCAAAAGAAAGACCCCCTTACCGATATAGGCGTGCTCTAGACTAACGCACTCGCAGTATCCCAGCGCGGTGTCGTTTTCTTCCGTGCCCAAGACGACCTTACGAACGATATTCAGAAGGCATTGGTTCAGCGACTCGGCGAACTGACGGGAAAGCCAAAAACCTCGGGCCTGCACATTCACCCGTTGGTAAACTCTAGCCGGGAGTTTGGAGGATCCGATCTGGAGATCGGCACAATCAGCTCTGTCAAGCTCAAGAAGCTTTATGGCAGCGCTGAAGGTAAAGAACCTCCTGCAAAGACGCTGGGCGCTGGACTGTGGCATTCGGATATCGCCTTCGAGCCGGTCCCCGCTGATTATTCCTCGCTTCGACTTGTTGAACTACCCAAGACCGGGGGAGGTAGGTAGAACCTACGACGGTAGATCGTCGCTAGTAGCGCTAACAGCCACTATTAGACACCCTCTGGGCATCCGGATATGAGCTCTATGACCGTATCAGTGAACCATACCAGAAGTTCCTTGAGGGTCTCACGGGGACCTTCGCTCAACCGGGATTTAGCGCCACTGCAGCTCGCGCCGGCTTCGAGCTCTATGACAAGACCCGCGGTGCACCTGAAAACGTTGGTAGCGCGATGAAAGCAGTGCATCCCATTGTGAGGACCAACCCTGTGACAGGTTGGAAGAGTCTTTTCTCCGTTGGTGGCCATATCCAGCATATCAATGGACTGACGGAAGAAGAGTCTAAGTCCCTCCTGAGCTGGTTCTTAGATTTGATATACAAGAACCACGACCTGCAGGTCCGCCTCAAATGGAAGAACCCGAACGACATCGGTAAGCATCCCGTCGTCCCAAGGAAGTTGAGGCTCAGAGCTGATATATGACTAGCGATCTGGGACAACAGAAGCACCTTCCACAGCGCAACCTTCGATTATGACGGCCAGGGTGAGCGCCTCGGGAACCGAGCGGTAGGATTGGCTGAGCGACCGTATTTTGATCCTAATAGCAAGTCACGCAGGGAAGCTCTGCGTGAGCATGCTCCTGGTGAGAAGATTCGTGTATGATTGAGTCCGTGAAAATCTCAGGAGCTCATTCGTGGCATTACAGTCCGCAGCCATCTATTCATGTTAAACCAATTAGGGAGGCCAATTGAACTTATGATGAATGAAATAATAGCTTCTGAAATAAGTCCCGTGCGTAATTGAAAAGACTAGAATAGCGAACTTGTGGAGATGTTGAGGTCTGGTGGTTCACGAATGCGGATAGCCCATCAGAGAATTTCAAGGTGCATTAAAGAAAAGTGTAAGGAGCCATTCAAGGCGGATTTTGGCAGAAAAAGAGCGAGAATAAGAGAGAGAGATATTCATACGCCCGTCAGGCCTCTTCGCGAGGCCCATGTGGCCGACCTAGGGCAGTTCAAATGATCACTAAGGCTCAAGGAACGCGGCATTAATAGGTCCGAGCATTGTTGAGTCATCCAACCATCCTTCATCATGAAGATTGAAGCCATATACATACACGTCCATTCCTGTTATGGTTTGGTCATTTGAGTGATGAAGATGTCGATTACAAGACTGTATACAATTGGAGAGAGCTATAAAAGAATGGGTAGGATCCCCAAACACCGATGTGGGAGCCTCAGGTACTAATATTTAGGGAGTGCTATACCTAATTGGGCTAGTATCTATGACGGCTTAATGAGCGCTAGGGCTAAATCGGGTTAGATTTCATGAAGACTTTAGTATTAGCCTATGAGGACGGCGTGCCCTAGAGTAGTTGAGACAATCAGATATTACTAATCAAATTTTTATTTCGACACGAACTGAAACGTGATAGAAATACGAACGCAACGAGACAGCGCCAGCTCCACGGCAGTAGACATGAGGTATTCTAGCGCAGACACACTTTCAGTGGGGAGAGGGTAGTTTGCCGCCAAACAACGGGGATGACAATGTTGCAAGTATCATCGACTTTATGGACATGCTCTATTTTGGATCAAAGCTGTATTGGGAGGTACTCATTTAGCAAGTTCAATAGCTGTTGTAATCACCTAATCCCGAGACATGTTCTCATATTCATCTTATGGCAACAGAATATTGAGCATTCTTCAATCTTACATTTGCTCCCTCAAGTCTACAACGAGCCAATACTTTGTCAAGAAACGAGAAGCCTAAGTCAAAGAACAGAATTCCATGGGTCTCCGGATTACAAGACCGTACATCTCACCCGTCGGCGAAGATGGAGGAGATGAGCACTCCGAGGACTTGGTCAGGAAAGTCACCACAGCCGGTAATAATAATGGCGCAAGCCGCCATGGTGCTGGCAACTGTAGCCGCCTCAAGCGCCCGTCCAATATTTCCCTAACCCTCTGGACATCCCCGTCTAATTAGCGCAAGAAACGGTCGAAGCCATGTCCCGCTCTGGGCCTGTCACAATCTGGCTATTTGATCATTGATGACAGATATCGAATTTACCCATCGGATCGTGCTCGAGGCGGTCGAGGCGTTCGCTCTCCTGCTGGCTGCCATGGAGGTGGGCTGACAGAATTATTCCAGCATGGAGAACTGCAGAGCCTGATTAATATAGAGGCGCATGATGGGGATTCGGGGTAAGACTGGATGCCACGCGGTATTGCAGTGTGGAGGGTCGAGACTCGAGACTCGAGGCCCGAGGGAGCTAGAGCCTTGTTGGTCGTCACTCGCCTGGCGGAAGGAATGGTATTCTCGGTTGCATGTCACGGCCCACGGATTGCTGCATATGCAGTATTATGCACACATCAACAACTACGTGATCGGGACCTAGCAGAGGTATCCCCCACTTGTTCTCGGTTCTCCCCGCTGCGTTTATGCTCGAGGTCGCTCGAGTCCTGGGGGTCTCTCGTCCCGATCTCTCTACCCGTCTCCATGTGGGTTGAAGGCCATCGGTGTCATCCAACCCAAATCCCTCACCCATCCAACGCTTACAATCGGAAGGCCGAGCCGAGCAATTTATGTACCATGCCTGATATCATGATCTTCACCTTCCCAGCTCGCGAGCCGACGCAACGATGGAGGTTTGTACAGATTAGTCAAGGATACCCGAAGGAGGCGTCGGGTCACCCACGCGAATCCCTGTCGGCAGAGGTGACGGTGGATGGTCGCATGGCGGATAAAAGGCAGGTCATCAAGTCGACGTCGGCGGTTCCTTTGTGCAAAGCGGGGTTCTCCGCATCTGCGAAGTGATATGCGGTTCCGGTTGATGACAGGACATAAGTAGACGTAGGGATCAAGCGTGCTGATTCTTGAAAGGGAGGGTGGGGTACGAAGTATGGCGAAGCGGAAGCGAGTCGTCGAGGGATTCGACGATTGACATGTGTCATTGCTGGGGATATCGAACTCAGGGTTATACGTAGTACGGTATACCAAGCCCATCGGATTCTGTATAGCCACTATACAGAAATCAAAATGAGAAAATTACGGAGGCAGATCGGAGCGTTCCGTGAGATGATGAAGGATCCCGATCCCGAGCCCTGCGATGAGGAAAAGGGCATGTCCTGGAGCATCTCATCAAGATCGTGCAGACACCTGTGAGTTCGGTTGTAGCCATTCCATCGATTTCCCTGCGGATCAGAAGTGGTCGAGTCGAGCCGCCAATCACCAGAATCTCATCTTCAGCACGATAATGTCCAGGGACCGGGATGCGTCGCTCAGATTGCATCCGACGGATCATGAAAAGTTGCGTCTGATGGTTGGGACCCCGATCTAGAAGTCCATCCGAAGACTCGAATGTTATTGAAAGTACTTGAGATTCGGCTTCGGTCTCCAGAAGAGAAACATCGGAAGAGATCAACTAGTCCAAACTCCAAACCCCTTTTTCGAAATCAAAATCAAGGCAAGAGCATCATATATTTGAAGGGCTCAGTGGTTCCTCGAAAGTGGTTCCGATATGGTCCCAATTTCCGCGCACCCCCGATTTTCCCAGGCGAGGGACGGAGGGGAGGGACCGGAGGTTCGCGTGATCCATCCACGGATGCAAATCATCAGCATGGAGCCATGGGCTAGTCGTCTAGTCGCGATGGGGGAAATTTCTCTGTGTTTACGGCCTGCTTTTCTCTTGGGGTCTTGCCATCTTGGGGATTATGAAGTGGTAGAAGTATCTGGATCAAGACATCAAGAACAATCGACCATCAACAAGCTACCCATATTCAATTGAGCGAATGACAGTAGGATAATGGGGATAATGAGGATAATTCGAGGACATGATGATGATTTAATGCCACCATGCAAGTGGATGAATTAGCGTGGGCGGACCCAGAGACTCCTTTTGAACTCGCACGCCCGAGACAACCGTGATTGACACTCGGATTGACACTCTGATTGATGATTCTGCCAACGCGAACCACTCCACCAAATCCCTTAATTAGTTAGAGGCCTTCCGTAATAATCAATAATAATGAGTATTAGTACCATCGCTAGTAATAATTCCTCTTAAGGGTGAATACTGGGTGATTGTCATTTGTCGGCTTGGATCCTGTTTCCATCCTTGATCCTCCATCCTTCCATCCCGCTCGGCTTCTTCTTCTTCTTCGCTTCTTCCGTGTCTTCTTCTTCCCTCCCTCTCTTCTCTCCTTCACCGTGACACTTGCTCATTCATATCATCACATTGTGATTCTTTTCACCTTGCATATCGCCGCTTCCTCTTCTCCCTCCTCTCCTTTTAAATCCCGCGGCCATTTCTCCCGACTTTACCCTTTCCATCCACCCGTCCACATCTCATCCTGTGAGCCCCATACAAAATTTCTTTCCTCTCCCCCCGTTCCTCGGTAAGCATGCAGAACACCAGACACCCCCATTGCAGAGCTGTGAATCGCTTCTTCCGGTTCATCCCTTGTCTTTGAATGAATGGTCCAATTCATTGTTTTCCCCTCCAGCGTTCTGTAGTACACGAAGTGTTGTTGGTGCGGTTCTCCGCACTTGGTTGACTTGTCCATACCCCATCCTTCCTCCATCATCTCCCATCGTTGACGACCTTGACATCAACGGCTAACGGTTCATCCGAAGTGTTGAAGCGGTTTTCGAGCCTCGCTCCCCCTCCGATTTCTTGCGCTCTCGAGCACTCACCTTGCACGTGGCCTATCAATCCTTCACCATTTCCTGATCCGACGATCCGGTCATTTGTTTCCGATACCGAATATTCTCTTTCTCCTAATCGCATCGAGACGCTATGGCCTATTACGATAACAACAACACCTGGGGTGCTTCGACCCCGACCAGGCAAGGTTGGGAGCAACCTGCGGCGCCGTCGCGTTCTGGTAAGGATATAATGGAGGTTGAGTAAGGTTGAGGAGCGTTGTCTAACGGATCGCGTGCAGGGAACAGTTCAACGGTCAACCGCGAACCCGACTCTTCGAGTGGGACCATTGCGTTCCTCCACCAATTCGAAGGTACGTGCCGCCGGTTTTTAGTACCACAAAGTTTGCACCGGGGTTGCGGAGAGCGAGCAGATGACTCCATTCCCCTGTACCAATCCAGGGTGCTGAAATGTGGTGGAATTGTATCTAACAATCTGCAGAGGTCGATCGTGCTATTGATAACCTAGTCAAGAGCGGCAAGCCTTTCCCTCCTCCGCCAGCGAGGCGCGACTCTATGCCGATGATGCCTGCGCGTCCAGCGGGCCCAGCGGTGGACTATGGTATGTACAACCGCATTGGATTTCCCACCATGTATACTAATCCCTCCAGGAATGGCATCTCGTCACTCCGTTGCTGAGTTTGATGGCGGGCGCCCTGGCTCGTCCTCCAACCTGCAAAGCTTCTATGCCAACCAACGTTACGGTCCCCGTACCGAAGGTGATCCGGCCGCTCAAGCCAAGCGCCGAGCCGCCGCCGCTCGCGAACGCGAACTGCGCAACTACCATCAGGAGCAACAATACAACCGCAGTACGTCTAATCTCCTCGTCACCCCGGAGCTCAGTTCACGTGGAGCCCCGCGAGATGAAGGGTTTCAACTGACGTGCCCCTCAGGCGTCGTGGCTGACGTTTCTGGCAACAACAAGTCTGACCGCTCGATGAGCCCGAACACCATGAGCGAAGACGAACGCCGTGAGCTCATTGCCCGCCAACACCGTGCCCTGTACGGCAACGACTCGAGCCTGTACACCGAAGCCAGCCAACCTCCCTCCCAAGACGCGCGAGTCGCCACCGCCGGCATCCGCGGCCACTCTCCCCTCGCCTTCGACCCCTATTATGGCCAAAACCCCCCACAAGGCACCGTACCCCCCCGTGACCCCTCCCAACCGTCCGACGCCTCCCAACCCCCCAACAAGGACGCCCCTCCCCCCCAACAATCCCGCTCCCGTGCCAACTCTACCTCCTCCCCCGCCTCCACCACCCAACCCACCACCTTCTCCCTCTTCGACAACGCCAATCCCCCCGCTCAACAATCCTCCCGCACCTCCACCTCCTCCCCCGCCGGCTCCCCCACCACCCAACCTGGCAAAGGCTCCGCCCCCTCCTCCACCGGCACCGTCGCCCCCATCGGCACCCGCCCCGCCGGCCCGCCGCAGAGCAAGCGCGCAACCACCCCCGGCCTGCCGAGCCCCTTGTCATTCGGCTACAACGCCGGCGAGGGACTGTCCAACGAGCGCAGCACCAGCGCGACGACGTCGAGCGCGCAGGGTGCCGGCGTGGAGAAGCAAGTTAGCGGCCTGGGCGCGTGGGGGAACAACGGCGGTGTCTGGGGCACGAAGAGCGGATTGGGAATGCAGGCGGGTGTCGCGTGGAGTTGATCGGCGATCTCACACGACGACTTAATTCCCTCTCGGTTTCATTTTTGGCGGCGTGGGTTCCGGTGCATGCGGTTTCGCTTCTCGGCGGCATTAATGCGGTGTTCGAACGCTTTTTTTTTCCTTCCTGGCTCTCTCTGTCATCGGATGGGGGATTTTTCTTTTGGCTTTGCGTGGCACGGCGACGGGTTTCGGTATCGGTAATACCATGGACGCAACCACGGAACGGGATCCGGGGCTTTCGGGCAATTTGGGGACAACACACTCACGGACACACAATTGGGTTTGCCTTACTTCCTCTTCGACGACGGCACACTCTCACGGTCTCGGGCGCTCATCGACTTTTCCTTTCTCCCCAGCAATCCACCATTTCCTTTCGCATCATCTTGTTTCCCTTTCTTCGGCGTTTGTTTTCCCCCGACTCCCCCTGTTTTCTTCCGCCCCTCTCGAGACAACCCCTGTCCAACAAATGTGTATACGGGCGGTGGACACCGGTCTTCCCCCCCACGGTACGGAATGGGTGGAACTCGGAGTTATTTCGAACGCGGATGTCGCGTTGCTTCTTCTGCATTTATGTGGCGCGGTAGCGATCAAAACACATCGTCATTGGGAGATACCCGTGCGTTGCGGGTTGTGGGGAGATGGGTGATTTCTCGGTTTTCGTGGTGGGATATGGTTTTCGAGGATGGCGCGTTGTGTGGTGTGTGTATGTGTGTGTGTGTGTGTGTATCAGTGCGATCTATGTAACATCGGTGGGCGGGATGTGGACTGGGTGGATACTGGGAGTCTGGTGGCTGCTTGCATCGACGGACAAATTACTCTACCCTGTCCTCAGACGCGCACGATTCCATCCTCTCGTCATATCTTCCCCTTCTCATTCCACGAGCCGCATCATCGGTTGTGTGTTCATGCGGGATATTTCGGTTCCCTCGGCACGGTTTCAGGATCTTGGAGTTGCTCAAGAGTGCGGATAGCCTAATGGGCGGCGGAGCCACGATCGATCGGCCATCGCGGGAGGCTACAGTGTGCGTTCTGTTGCATCGGGCGGCGGAGTCGCAGTCTATAATTTGGGGTTCTGGGTTCGTGTTTTTGCTTTTGGGGTTTGTTTGTGTAGGGTTGGACTTTGGAGGGTTTCCTGGATGCGGATTTGGGGGATGTTAGTTTACTGTAGTCAAGGAACCTAAAATATGGTGATTACTGTTTCTACAGTTAATTGTTGTGCCACTGAATGAAGATGAATGTGCATTGTCTCTCTACGGTGCAGACATATCTTGTCCATTAATTCTGTGTTGGTGGTTCTTCACATTAATCTGCAGCGTCGATTTCCAGGAGTCGATCCAGATTACGCTAAACCCAAACGGGACAACCCGGTCACCCTTGCTCTCCACGAAATCGTGTCCTCAACTTCACGACTTCGCACCTTGAGCTTCTGATAATCCTCACACAACTCCATTGAATTGCCTCCGCCACCAGCAGACCTCTCTATATTCCATCCTCCTCGTCCTAGCCGCCTTCCAAAAATCCAGTCCATCTAAAGGGAAAGGCCTGCCGCGCCTTTTCCAACTCCATCCACACACAATGGTACGCTCTCTCCACCTCGTCGCACATCCCCATCACCAGGAATGCCATCCACACACAACTCCCCTAAGCGCGCCCTTTCCGCGCTCAGAATCTCCCCTATGAATCTCCCGCCCCCTTCCTCTCCCTCCTCCTAATCCCCACGAACCCCCCCAATCCCATAACTAACCACCCCCAGTCCACATCTCCACCCGCAACCGGCACCTCCACCGGCGCCTCCACCTCCCGCCCCTCCTCCCCCAAACCCCCGGGCGGCCCCGCAACTGCTATCCGCCGCAAAGCCGCCGCCGAGCGCGCCGACCGCGCGCAGAATGCCCGACCGAGCAGCACGCGCGCGGCGGGCGCCGGTGGGAGTTCCGGGACGATGTTGAGTATGTGATTTGGGTTCGATGGCTGGCAGAAAGGATCGGAGCTAACGGACGGGTAGAGTTGTATACGGATGATTCACCGGGGTTGAAGGTCGATCCGGTGGTGGTGATGGTGTTGAGCGTGGTGTTTATTGCGAGTGTGGTGGCGTTGCATGGTAAGTTAGGAGGGGATCGTGGGGATTTGGGAGATGGAGCTAACGGGAACAACAGTGTTGGCGAAGATTACGAGATATTTCACAAAGTAGAGTTCGGGGTGGCATTGCGGAGTCGACGGAGAGAAGCAAGATGAACTGAGGATCACTCGATATCTATGGATGGCATCCAGGATCCTTGGCTGGTGATGCAGGTGGGGGCCATTGTGTTGAGGCATGCTACGGTGAAGAGCAACGGATCACCGAATAGTGGGAGTCGTTCGATGGCGTACGAGTAAAACTGCTGTATTATATGGATTCTGAAAGCCCTGGATTTGAACAAAGTCTCCTTGATTCTCCCGAATGATGCCCTCTATCGATCTGCTTCCGTTCGGGCCCTTCCGATCCTGCACGATCCAGAACCAGTCTGAGCACCCCTTTCCATTTCTCTGACCACGCTTCTCTCTATGCCTAAGGGATCCGCTTGTTCTACACAAATTCATCTCCTTCGTTTCGGTCATTTCTGTCGTCTACTGAACTCCATTTTATCCACATCCTTGAGGAGAATAGATAAGAGCCGTTGGTAGAACCAACATTCCGTCGACATTTAGTCGTGGATGGCACCTCGAACCTCATCGGATATCTATGCCTTGTGGACGTCCCTACCGCACCGTTGGGTCTTCCTTAATCTTATTCCGTTCTCGTTGATTACCATACCGTACGTCCTGGATTCTGCTTTCCTACGAGTGTGTATTACAGATCCCACGTTGAGCAGGCAACCGAATTCTACTACAAAGGCAACTTGGATGTTCGAATATCGTTGATTATCTATCCATAGCATGATCTCACGATCTCATATCAACATATCCGATCCGAAAGACTAGCAGATCCACCGACTAACGCCGCCTATGTCCCAAACTCTTTTTCTGGTCCATACCTTCGCCCCAACGAAGCGGTAAGGTAAACTCATGCGCCGTCTATGATGCATAAGATATCATCATGACTAATGTGATGAACGAGTTCAGACCAATAAGCCGATTCCCCTCACTTGTCCACACTCCCACTCCTCTCGACACCGATACCCCCGCCACCTAGCTCCCGCATACTCCAACTCGCCTTATGCGGCACCGCCCCCCTCGGCAACGACCCATAACTCAGTCCTCCCGACGCCGACCTCGTCCCCGACGACTCTGACCTCGACACCGATGTACTTCCATCACTCCGACTCCTCCGAACCCGAGCAACCGTCAAGCCGCTTGCACCCCCCTCCGAAACCCCTGGTGATCTGGAGCCAGAGCTCCCGCTGTCCACACTAGCGTCACTGCGCGGACGCGACGCCGCATCCGCCGGCGTCCCATCCCACTCAACCCCCGTATCTATCCGCTCCAGCCGCGGACGCCGGGGTATGGCAATGCGCTCAGGAGACATATTCGGGCTCACAGACTGTGCCACGCTCGACGGAGCACGTGTGGTTTCGTCCTCATCTGCAGCGGGGTTGACCAGTACCGGATCCGCATGGAAGTCCGCTGCAGACAGCGCTCGCTCGCTCCTGATATCCGGGTCCTCATCCTCGATCTTCGCGATCCGACGCACACTGCTGACCCGGAACCCCGTTACGGGCGCCACGGTGCTGGTAGTGCTCTCGGACGCGAGACGCGACGCGTTGGGTCGCTTGCGCCAGAACAACAAGCTTTCAACGCTGATGGACGGTGATTTCTCCTGGGCGTCCTCCTCGGAGGGAGTCGAGCCTGCGCGGGCGAGGTAGGCGAAGTATTTCTCGCGGAGGCGGCGCCAGCGCTGCGGATGGAAGTCCTCAGTGGGGCGGTCGCGCATGATACTCATCCAGGAGGTGGCGGCGCTGATGGCGATGGCGACGAGGAGGAAGAGGGTGAGGAGGCTGTGAAGGACGATGATGACAATGCCGATAGCGGTGGCGGGGATGCGGGGGAGGGCGAAGGGGGTGTGGAAGGTGGCAGCGAGGGCGAGGGTGGCAACCTTGCTGAAGCCGAGGAGGTAGACGACGAGAGCGTTGAGGCGGCGAGATTCGTAGGGATTGGCGTAGATGATGCCGCAGAAGGCGAGGGTTTCGACGGCGAGGAGTCCGAAGACTTGGACCATCGGATGCCCGCTTGCCCCGCCGTACAATGTTGCACGAACGAACTCATAAGCTAACCAGTAGCAGAAGAAGAGCCACTGCGATCGGCGATACCGAGAGACGAGCCAACCAAACCTAGTCATGTAGTCGATATCTTCGTGCACCGTTATCCCATCTTCGTTAGGAGTGTATTTAATGACCGGGACACAGAAGTGGATAGTACCCCTTTCACCCTCAGAATGCGAGACGCTGTCGCGGGAGATAGTCCACCACGGCATGATTTTGAGAACCCTTCCCTTCCCAACGCAGAACACTTCCTTGCCGAAGGTCCAAGTTCCACGCTTCATGCGATAGTAACCAGCGTATCCTGCAAGAGTGAAGCCGCCAATGAAGAAAAGGAGGAAGACCGTGGTAGAAATGCCTATGACTGCCGAAGCGCCATGATAGGTGAACTGGAATGTTGTAAGGAATATTATCATGAAGAATCCGATGAACAACGTCCTCAAGACTGCTGCTTGGGTGTAGAATTGCCAGTTCTTCCTGAAAAAACCAAGTCGATGACCTTTGACGAGATTGACCCGCATCATACCCTCCAGGGTCCATTTGAACAGTGCAACTGAGCTTCCGATTATAACGACGGCAGTGAGTAGCCAGAGGAACCCGGTCATGAACGCATTCGAGGCTGGGATATTTTCGAAAGAGAGCGTGCCCGCAAATCCAGAGTAATTTCCAGGTAGCGGTAGCCCAGCGTTAGCGGCTTTGCCATACCGGCTAAACCCGTTTGCCTCAGTCAAAAGGGCTCTCGTCGCCCACATATGAGTGGAATCGTCCGCGTCTCTTTTGTAGATCTTCCGGAGGTCATATTTGCCGGCAAGATTCTCGATTCGGAAACCAGTTCCTGAGGCACCAACGGCCATGGGGTTGCCCTTGTCCTCTCCAACTAGACGGTTGATCGAGCTTTGCATCGACTTGGTGAAAATCATTCCACCGGCCCACGCATAGTTGCTCCAGAATGCTACCAGGACACTGGGCAAGTTCAAAGACAAAGCCCCAGTGTAGTAAATGTGCTGGAAGACGGCAAAGACCACAAGAACAGACATGGAATGCGCATAGTGCTTCCTCATCTCAGGGACATTGTGGCCATAGATTGCTGTAGCGAAAGAGGAGACGATGGCAATGGTTGCGAAAACCCCCAATAGGGACCCGACTGCGTACGGGTGAGAGAACGTGGCGCCATTAGTGACCACCGCTGAGATACATCCAATTTCTGACTTCGTGGAGTTGGCAAATATTTGAAAGATGGCTCTGCCTTCGAAATCTGGAATCGTAAGGGCAATATCTAAGCCACATCAGCGTCATGTTTCCTCATTCCGAAAGTAGATGTCATACCAGGAATATTCGCGATGTCTTCAGGGGCGACTAGGATATTCCCTCTGGCCTCGATCGGGATAGACTTGCTGAGAGGGCATGCGCTCCGGATATTGGCACTGCATGGGTTGAAGGGCAGCTGGAAACGGGTTTCGCCATATGCGGAGACGCCGATGTACACTATGAAGATCAGTTTCCATTGCTGCTCGACGTTGAAGAGATCGACGAACTCATAACCGCCTCCTTCGCCAGGGTGGTCGACCCTTGCAAATGAAACACCACTGTCATGTTATCCTTGTAAAACGCGGCATCGAACCTGGTCACCTTGACCAATGAGCTGCTGCCCATACAGTCGCCAAAATCCCCAGTATATAGGGCTGGCTTCCGGCTATCTCGGAGGGGGATCTTTTTGCCGTCAGGGCCCTGGACCGTGATCCATTTCTCTTTGGGGACGATCGCCAACGTCTGTTGGAATACGGCGAAGAGGACGAGGAGGAACACGAGGATGCCACGGAAAACCGACATCTTGGACTCCTGAAGCTTCGAAGGACGAATTTAGATGCTTGCTAAATCTCCATTTGGCATTGTATGAGAACAAGTCTCAGCCGGAGGGTCGAGGATGGTGGGGATATTTGACCAGAGTTCCCCTTGAAACTGAAAGTGAATATAAGGGCCGATGGCCGTCGATTGGATTCATCAATAGACGATAAGTGAATTCGAGAATCGACAAAGTGGTATAATGATTGTACCAAGTGTTTGCGCATTCAAGACTCGTACAATGGGAATTAACACCTTGACCATTCACTCTGGCTTCATCTTTCATTCTCGATGGCAAGAATGCCAGCAACTAAGGGAAGGTGCTGCACACTGAAAGCCTGGGATTTTCAACTTCTATAGAGACAACAGTAATAAGCAAAGCGACATCACAGCGCAACCTGAACAGCGCGTCGATGATATTCTCGACATTTGCCAGCTGTGGACGCATTCGGTGATGGACGACGATTCATGCTGCGAGAGTGACCTCATTCCGCACTTCAGCATTTCTACGGCACCCTTCTCCCGCACACCAGCAGGCGAGCGTAACCTAGAATTCAGACCTGCAGCAAACTTAGAGGCTGCTGACACAGTTTCTAAAGTGCTCTTCTGATCCAAATCTAGATCTTCTCTAATTAGATCGACCGTGTCTCATAGCTGTACCTTGAAATGATTCATTGACTGAGCCCATCAACGGGACCAGCGAGGATGCGTCATTGCAGTGACACCTGTGGTCTTGTTGGTAGTCTGCGGATAATCCTTCCTCTTCTAATTACTATTAACAGAAGAGCATGAAGTCTATATAATCTATAGAAACCGGAAGTTCGACCCATGAGCTGTCTCCTTCTCCGCCCTCCGCAATCGGTTCGTCACCCACGGTTGGAACTTGAACCATTCGTGGGAGTCCCGATCGGCGGTGGTGGCTTGCTTTAGTGCCGGGATATGCGGGGGCTAGCGACTAGTTACCGAATATCGTACCAAAGTCTAACGCCTAACGGCCACCAATCAAACAGACAGCAGTTTGCAAGATCGATGACGACGCCACGAGCACCAAGTTATTGAATACAAATATCGGGATTTTGGGGGTATGATTAGAATATACGGTTGCACTACAATGTCGAGTATTTGGACCTCGCTAACTAGTTCGGAAGACATGCTCTTCTAACACATGTGCGGAATGATTCCTACGAGGAAGTTTGATGAACAGGACGTAGGAGAGACGGTAGTTCATGCCGGGTCGTGGGTACGGATTGATGTGTGAGACTTGCCGATTTGCAATCGCTAAGTGTGGAACACCTTGTGGCCCGGACCGGAAGATTGCCCGTTGCTCGCACCCGTAGCACTCTCAAAAGAGCCGTCTCCGTGATGCCAATCCGGATTATCCCAGTTGGGCAGGACATTGGTCAGATGTTCTGGCAGCTGATCCGGCCAATTTTTTCGAATCACCTGGAGCACTTCATCGTACAGGATGCGATATCCCGAGGGAGATAGGTGAAGACCTGCAACACATGAGCTTGTCATCAAACCCCGAACCGGAGCGACCATAACTCACCATCATGCAACAACTCCTCCAAGACTGGATTCGGTCCAAATTTTCGGCTGCCAGGTAGTACCGAACTTCCAAGCTCCCAACCAGCTTTCAGCATGATTACTGTCCACATGTCCACGACTGGAACGCCCAGTTTCTCACCAAGTTCTCTCGTCGCCTCGGCATACTCTTTCGTCCGCTCAGCAGTCCGCCGGGGTTGATTGTAGCCTTTGGCTTGATCAACAACCCACTGCATGTACTCGTTGATCGGGGGTGGGGTAATGAGGATTATTCGAGCGTTATGGGCCTTCACTTTCGCATGGGTCATTAGATGAGTTAGGTTTTCGAGGTACCGTGGAAGCGGAACGCTTTGATTGAGGTATGAAGTTGGCCAGCATGAGTCGTTGGCGCCGAAGAAGACGGTCTGCTTTATATGAGCCTTGCGAACAACCAATGAAGAGACTGAATATACCATGAGACGCATTCGGGCTTCGGTGACGGCTGGGATACAGCGGAGGAGGACTTTGATAGCCATATCTGTGTTGTAACCGCTGCTCCCAGTCAATGCATGCCACTTGAATGACTCAGGAGGAATTTTTGAAGTACCTTAGGCCGCGATTGACCACGTCCAACTTCCGGATATACGCTAGTGGATGGTCATTCTCTCGTCGTCGGGTCCACGTTGATTTTCTGACACTAACCATCTTGCAATGCAGCAGCGAATCCGAATCCTCGCTCTTGGGAACTAGCCTGCTGGGTGATAGAATCCCCTAGTAACAAGAAAAGGTCGTATAGCGGACCCTAATGGACTTAGATCGCAGACTTGAATATCAAAGGCGCGGAACCATACATATGCATTTTCATCATAAAGAACACCAGTTTCTGGAAATTGTAACGCGTCAGACGGTACATACAATTCATGATGTATAATAGCAAATCGCGAGACTTGAGATTTGAGACTTGAGACTTGAGATTTGAGACTTGAGACTTGAGACTGGGGTCTGGGAACTGGGGACTGAGGATGACTTGGAGTTTTGTGTGTACCTGGGTGTCCCCCTGCTCGCAACATACTGGGCGACAGACGCGTCATGATGTCTCCATATGATTTGATCGAATTATAAGTATCGGTGTCTTAATTTTAGGATCTCATGTAAGACAAAAAGTGAATGACGGAAAGGCTCGAGCTCAAAGAGTTCGAGAAGATACCTTTATACGAGCAGGAGAACTTCATGTTGAAGGGTCACGAGCCGTTTCAGATGCACCGCCTGACCCACCCGGCCGGGGGTCTTCGGCTGCCCTAAGAATCACGATGCGGAGTTTCATGATAACTTCTAGGACACAACAATCATATTGTGCTTCATGTTTGACGTTTCCTATCACATAGTGTTTGAATGGAACATGGATCTCCAAACATATGGCTTTCCTTATCAAACTCACTTCTCGAGATACAGACATATGCTGGTACCGCTTAGTCATCCTCCATATCCATAAGGGCTGGTGAGATTTCTCCCTCACGCTAATAATGGTGGAAATTAATTGCTCAATTGGGCCTAGCGTGCAATTTCCTTCGTCCTCGCCTAGTTAGGGACAACTTCAATTGTCAATAGTTATTCAATTTATTCCTTCTCTTACAGACCTCAGCATGGGGAATATCGCCCCTCCTCCAGGTAGTCTTCACATGTCCTATGAAGAAGCCTACAATGCTCTCAAGATCTATGGTATGCAGCATGGTTACGGCTTCGTACTCAAACGGAGCAACCCTCACGGTTCTGATATAAAGACGCGATATTACTATCAATGTGATCGGTCCGGAAACTATCAGTCAAGAGCAAGGATTCTAAGCACAAGCACACGCATAATAGGGTGTAATTTTAGGCTTGTCATATTCAAGAACAAAAATGACGACCAGTAGAAGCTAGAGGTGCTACACAAACATCATAACCAACCCCGGTCGCTTAACCCTAGTACGCATAATGTCCAACTAACTAACGTATTCCACAAGCGAGTGGCCCATACAAGCGAGTGGCCCAGCTCATTTTACTAGTAAATTCGACAAAATTCGATATCAATATCTCAACAACCACTGGATAATATAGTCTGAAAACTTAGAGTTAGGTTTTCCTAGCCATTTCTAGCTTACTATTGAAATATTAAAGCCCTAGCTTTTACAGGTATAGAGATACCTACTTCTTGGCAAGATTTAGAGACCAAATCTCTATACCTTTATAACTATAAAAGATAAAGCTCTAAGATTCTAATAATAAGCTAGAAATCGATAGGAAACCCTAATTCTAAGTTTTCAGACTATATTACCCAGTGGTTGTTGAGATATTGATATCGAATTTTGTCGAATTTACTAGTAAAATGAGCTGGGCCACTCGCTTGTATGGGCCACTCGCTTGTGGAATACGTTATCGTAAGCGTATATTAGTAACCATAGAAAGATATAATTAAATCAATGACACATGCTAGGGTACGGCCGATGCAGATAATGGCTACTATTCAAAAGGAGGATCCGAACACGCTAGTATCTGCTACCGATATTCGCGGCGAGAGGAAGGCAATTAGAGAGAAGTACTTAAATGGGAGGAGTGTTATGGTCTCAGGCCTGTGGCCTGAGCCCTTGGGTGTGGCTGGTGGATTGCATAGGGATTATCAGAAAAGCAAACATAGTTACACTGCATTAGGGCAGCAGAGGGGAGAGTCGCTACTTCACGCACAAAGGCGCCAGGAGATTCTCTCTTTCCCTCTCTCTTCAGTTTAGATTAATGGAACTTGGTAATCGCAGATCTTGCGCATCCAAACCGTGTCAAGGAGTCCGATTAAGACATTATTAGATGGCCTGTCTACGCCGAAATAGGTCTTTACTATTAAGAAGGATGCGGATAATCACGTATAAAGTCTCTTCTTTGCCCACCAGAAGCAGAGAATTGCTAAGCACCGGGCTCAATTTATGAAACGTTAGAGTCAGGTATGCTCCCCGCTAATAGCCTAAGAGGCGTTTCTAGAAGGCTTCCGGGAATGCCTCTTATAATTCTTTTATGGAACTGACTGGAATAGCTTGTCTACGCAAAGAGTCTATATACATTTAAGCTAAAGTGGAACGAGTTACTCAAAGACTATGTCGACCAGCGAGAACTTTGCCAATACTTACGTGACAATTAATGGCATATACGTACCGAGTGGGCAGCTGCTTAGACGTCTCAGCATCGACACTATAATATAATCATAACCTCTCCTGGTGAAGGAATGCATAAGGTATTGAAGGACTACCTTATGGCTTCAACAGGCGACTTGCTGCGTGTTGTTAGAAGGATTAAGCAGATAGTTAAGAGCCAATACAATAAGTATAAGAAACAGATTGCTTCTTCTAAACACAGCATTAAATTCGAGCACAGACTAGAGTCAATGCCATTCCTATCTCCCGGCATTTATAACATCCTTACACCAGCGGCAATTGAACGCATTAAACAATAGGATCTATTACGCCAGAAGGAGCAAAGACAACGCCGTAGCGGGCGTCCTTGTTCTGGCCTCTTTGAGAAGATAAACGGTCTTCCATGTCATCATACGCTGCGAGATGTAATAAATTCTGGATCGACATTACGACCAAATCACCTTTACGACGATCATTGGCGCTATTAACGTGAGCAAGGACGGTCAATAAGCCTCTCTCCAAGGCCATATCAATCTATCCTAGAGTCGCTTCCTGCTTAAACAAGAAGTGCACCGAGGAAGAACGAGGCATCAACTCGTCGAGATCCATCAGCTTTTGAACGACGTGTGCCACCTTCTATCCCTCAATTTTAGCCTCCTCCTCAACCTCAGGGTCAAACACTTGCTGAGGTCTTACGACACCTAAACACCTCTGTCGCTGTGTTAATTCCTACATCTGCACTAGCTACGAACACTATAACTACTTCTATATCTGTGTCGGTCCCTACACCTACTCCTATATCTTCCCCTACTCTATCTTATTTGTCTTCACCTGTCTCTGTTACAGTGTCTGTCACTATGGCTTAATCCCCTCTACAGACTGCTTGGCAACCTCCGACGTTGGAAGAGTTCTTTACTGACATCGAACGTCGACGGCTTCAGCCTCTTCCGCATAACAGCAGTGACTTTGGTACAGTGACCAATTTTTTGGCAGAGACAGGGCAGGAAAGGGACCGGGCAGAACTGATCGAAGCACGAAATATGGCTCTCGCTACAAGCGGAGTATATGCTTCCTGCACCCCAACAATGGCATGGAATTATCACTTTGGAGATATGCAAGCTTTCTACGCCGCAAAATTTGCACAAGTCGATGCTCAAAATCCTCTTTTTGGGTCTGGGGATGTGCGTAGACAGCGTCCTAAGCGTGCTGCAGCAGAGACGGTTTCAAACGCTTGGAAAGGACTTAGCCCGCGCAAGAGACAGCGACGTCAGTAGAAAGAAGATAGGCCTAATAAGGAATACATTGAAACATTGAAGTTCGTTCGCAGAGGAAAATGGGAAACTGCGCGCTAGGCCCAGTTGAGCAATTAATTTCCACCATTACTAGCGTGAGGGAGACATCTCATGCAAAGGAGAAATCTCAAATACGAAGGGAGAAATCTCACCAGCCTATCCATAACCTCAACGACGAGTATTAATCGCGTTGTGTGCATCCAACGTGTTAGAAATCTCCTCGAGAGAGTCCCATTCTTCCCTCGTCCAGTTGTTTGAAGCCCTCATACCCTGAACGCTTCTCCATATCTCGCGGAAGATCGCATCCGACTTGCGCTGCAACTGGGCCCGTCGGGTCTCTTCGCCCCGCCTCGACCCCCAGATCTCCATGTCCAATTCGTACTTCCGTCTCAACAAATCGGCACATCGCGCGATGCCTTTGGCTTTTGCGGCCGCTGCCTTTCCATCTTCTTCGTGTCCCGGAGGGTACAGCGGCGGCGGCGGCGGTTGTGCCCGGTTGCCCTCCGCGTTCTGACCGTAAGGCGCGTTGTAAAATGGCTCCAGATCCGCCCCCGATAACCCGCCTTTCTTCTTCTTCGGTCGGAGTTTGGTTAAGGCTTCAAACATCATGAAGAGCCCGAACGTTCCTAACACTGAAATGGAGGCCGAAATACCGTGCACAAGGGATATGATGGACGTTCTAATGGTGTCGACTTGGGTTCTTCCGGCCCCTTCAACGACGATACGGCAATCTGAGGCCGGACAGGCTTGAGGTGCGTCGCAAATATTCGTCAGAGATATATTTGATCGATATGGTGGACTCGGCGGTTCCTGGTAGTAGGAAGAATAGTTATAATACTGTTGACCCTCCAGCCCGCTCAAAGGTAATCCGCCGCAAGAATACGGCAGCGTCCAGGCTTCCACGACACTGTTCGTGATCGACGTGTTAACCCGTCCTTGGATGGCGACGAGGTTGGCTGGAAAAGGTTCCAGACCCCATCGAGCAGCGGTGATGGATAAAGCGAACAGTGGAGAAATGGAGCTGTGGTTGATGAATTTCCAAGCTTCCATCACGATCGCTGTCGCGCCAAAGATGCCTGACCGACAGGAATCCTTTTTTTTAGATTATCGTCGAAATCTTCCCAGGCCTCATGATGCGAGAAAAGGCCATACAACTACATGGGCGTTTGGAGATTGGGGGCAGTGCTTCGGTGCGAGGATACGAGGCAAGGCTGGAAGCCACCGATGCATTTTCATTTGCTAACGAATGCAGGTTTTGGCTTTAGATGTGCAGCAAGGCAGTCCACAGCCTTTCGACCGGAAAGCAGAGCAGCTCCAAAAGGCATTGAGACTTATAGTAAGCGCTACGTAATCTTGGACAGTGATTGATGTCGCCTTGAAACCGACTACGCTGGACAAGATTGCGATGTTGTTGAAGCTACGCCTTTGCTTTCGGTCGTGTTGTATAGTTTTATTATGGGAAGACTTCACTCGGATTGGGAACACGCGCGGAGTCTAGGCTACGGTGGCCTCGAACTGATCAACGGACGCGAACTGAACGGAAGAAGCGATTCCGATTGAGATAATTACATTGTAAGTTTCTTGGAACCAAACGGTGTCCTCGATCGAGTTAGTACTCTACATTTTATTGTTACCCTTTAGTCCTGTACGATATTTTCTTTCCGTCACCCCATTGCGCTTTATTCGACAGACAACCTCATCAGAGACTTCAATCTCTGCAACAAGATCCACGGTTAAGTAATACCCGTACCCTTTTGCTTTCTTCTGTTCTCGAAGTTCATATCGTGGTATCGCGCCCATGTTTACCACCAAGTTCTTGATTTCATGGTTACCTAGAGCGATCATCAGTATTCAGTTAACAATCCACGACCTTGACAACACGCTGACGCCAATTGGCAGACGCAACAACTTGATGAGCATTACGACTTACCATTTTTTAATTCTGAGATGTTTGCTGGTGCTTCAGGAAGAGTGGTCGCCACGAAAGTCACACTCAGCTCATACCCTTTCTTGTGTTGATTCTTCGATGTGTGGCCTTCTATAGGTATCGATGATTTGATCGGCGAGCCAGGAATGATGACATCGCCTCGTTTCGCGGCCCATATTATCTGACCCGGAATCAGCTTCCTGAGGTGAAACCGATCGTTGACGGCTTTCCCATCATCATGCTCCGGCCTCCAGTCCTCGTAAAATTCACTGAGGCAGATGCCATAATGTCTCGGGCAAAATTCGACTTTGGTAGCCACCTCAGAGCCGATCCCCATCCCCTTGAGAAGGGCGCCCTGAACGACCGCGGTCCAGCTAGATGATCTGAGTAAGCAGCGGCCTACGCATCGGATGTTATTGTGCTTGCCAGTTGTCTGCTCTTTGGACTCCGATATGAGCAGTGCTATCAGCATACTCCTTGACCTTCTTGTAGAGGTATGGATTTTGAGCGAAACCTCCAGACATAAATATATTCTGGGAGTAATGAGCATCTCAGGTGCGGGTAGATCGCATACACCCAACTTACTTCTACACGCAGGTACCCCTGGGGACGTCTTTTCATTTCGACGTTCCTCACTTGCCGTCTGATCATACCGATGGTCGTGTTTACGCTCTTCTCGAATATGTGTTCGAGGTCGGAACTACAACACGGCTTAGTAGTTAGATAACGATTCGGCGACAATGTAGCCTTACTGCGAGAGCTTAACGACTCCATCTTTTATGGCAAACTTGTGGGCTTCGGCAGGCTTCAGTGTATGGAGCCTGTTGTCTGCATCGCGATATGTCTGAGGGAGCTGTATGTTTCCCTTGTCGGTGCTGTCGAACGCTTCTTTGACTGGCTTGAAGCGCTTGAGGAGGAGGCTTGTCAAAGGAGAGAAAACAGAGTGCCCTCCAGCCGTTACATCTTCCGAAAATAGGTGTACATTCGCTAACTTTGGCTCCAGCCACTCTAGGAAAGCCCTGTCGACAAAAGTTGCGCCGCATCGACTCTCGGATCCTGCTCACTGATAAGTATTTGTGCATATTGTTGCGCGCGATCTTACCGTCGTCTTTTTCAATCAAGGACAGCTTAAAAGGATCGATATTCTCAACACAGTATGTTGCGATATCCTCATACAGACGTTAGCTTCGTCGTTGACCCGGACGAATGTCATCCTAAGTATGGGTACTTACCACAGTGCCCCCGCCGGCATCAACAAGCACGAAGCATTCACCCTGAATTCATCAGAACCACTATTTATTCATAAAGAGACGAAAATCCCACTTCGATGACTGATGGGTGGCTTTTCGCCAGCATATCTTGAGTAGTGGACAATGCACATGCTTCTGGCTCCTGTACAACATAGAAGTCTCGGATATGCGGGAAGAGACCTTTATGGCAGGCATGTCTTACTGCAGTGATGGTTGCATTAAGAGCATGGTAATCCCATATCTAGAAGATGTCAGTCGAGCGGAAACCGCTTCTCAGCGTGAGTATACAGAGCAAGCATGAACGTACGAGAGGGTGAGTCACGACGATGTCGAGAGGAACTTCACGAAGAGCTTCCCTTGCTGTCGCCATCATGTGTGCACGCCATTCTTTGGCAACCTTATCCAGGTAATCCTCAATGATCTCTCCCGCGTTCTTCCTCAAATGCTTCGGGAGTTCATAGTCTCGATTCCCGCTTTCTTGAAATTGCTGCAAGAGACTCAGGCCTTTCAGGAGATTTCGCAGCACCGCCAACTCTGTCTCTGGCGACTGAAGCATTAACTCTAACTTGGTCCAGCGCAGGATCAAGGAGTCTTTGTCCATCGAGTAGCCCCATTGCTTTTCTCGGTTTTTCGCCGCCGAATAAGAGAACTCCGATGGCACTTTCTCTTGGTTCTCCTCTACCTCAGTTACACCTGGCCAGCGCGGGAACACGGTGATGTCCTGAATTGAGCTCTTCACAAGAGCATCATCTTGCTGGACCCATGCTACTCCTGGGAAGTCCGGTGTCAGATTATGAGCATTTCGCTCTGAAGAGGACTCACCAGTGAAAGTTGTTCCATAATCTATGCCCAATAGGACCCTCGGGCCCGGTTTCAGTCCCTCCAACGGTGCTGCAGTTTCCGAGTCCTGGGGTTTCGGCTCCTGGGCTCGTCGTCGCACAGGCATGTCATTAAATATCGAGCCTCTTTGATGTCTGGTTGACTCCGACGCGTTAGCCACTCGATGTCTTTGCGCTTCCTCCTGGCCATCTCTCCCTCGCCCTTCTCTTCGTTCGGCATCCCTCTCTCTTACCCGTGGAGAGTCCATTGTTTTGATGGTGTTAGGAAATGGAAAAGCTACGGGAAGCAGGTAGGAAATGGGAAGTTGCCATCGACCAGCCTTGTCAGCCAGGAAGAAGAGCTGTTTAGGCGGCCTCGGTGTAGAACCTAGTCTAGCCTTGCCGCGAGACCCAGAAACCTTTTCTCGTGTACGCATCATATCGGCTGTAATGGCAAGGCTGAATTTTCATGCTGATGCACTGCCCCAATCAAGAAGCAACCAAACTGCCAGGTCATAGGTAGGCTCTGCATAACAAATGATTGATAAGTGTGAAGGATAAGGCTGGACTAGCTACCAGCTCAATTCGGTTTCAACTACGATACCCTCAAGCTCACCGGTCAACCGTTCTCGACAAGCTATCTTCCGTGGCTCTCTAAAAAATGGACTTATTACACTGGAGAAAGGACGAGAGAAGTGCCTTGGATATCAGAAGAGACTACAACTCACGAATCCAGAGGTTCTTCCAACAGGTGGAGGTCAATCTAGATTCTTTTATCGGCGAGGGGGACTCTCTGGAGAAGCTATTCCGATGGAGCGCCAGCGTCAACAGCGCGAGACGATATCTCAGTAATCGCCTTTCCACTGAACAGAGGAATTGCGATATTGCTGAGGAGGAGCGGGACAGGTTAAGGGCCCAGCTTCATGAAGCAAACCAAGAACTATGCGGCCTACACAGCGAAATCAAACAGTTGGTCCTGGATCATTCCGATGCACTTGATTTTGAGAAAGCAGCCCGCAGGAACGAAGTAAATAAAATCAAGCAGGAGTACAAGGACGAGACGAATAGACTAAAGGGACAGCTCCTTGTGAACCAGGACGATTTCAAGCGATGGCCAGACGACAAACTCAAGAGCAGGTTCAAGGAGTTACAGATACTGATCAGTAATATCACTGATCCGGGCAGAGTTGAACTGCGAGTTCCAAGAGGTCGGCCACTCGATATCGATTTCGACCCGACTGGATTTTTAGCTCGCGCTGGTGGGGAGAGGGCGCATGTGCTGTTCAAAAGCATCATCTGGGTGATCCTTGACGAGCACTTCTTCTCCTTACCGTATGGCTTTGGAGTTCTCGGCCCAGCGACACCAGAAAATACACTATTAGGGGCATATGGATCGTGGTATACTGCTCTAGGAGGGAAAGTTGAACCACGTAAGTCTCCTATGACTTTTCTGAGGTGCTCCATAACGATGGCAATTCTAATGGGAATTCTAGTTCCTTGCATTGCCGAAGGCCTCAAAGTCTTCCACACTGACCAACTGGCAAACGGCTGGAGGTCCGCAACCTTCCAAAGCCTCTACTCAGCTATCGTCAGTCCAACAGCCTCCAACGCCACCGCAGCCCAAAGCTCTGCGAACATTGACGCGGCGGTGAAGCGAATATCTCAATTGTTCACGGCAGCCTCGCAGTATTTCTCCAACCCGTCTCCAATACAAGATCCTGAAATCCTCCAAGCAGCGAGACTAGCGCGAGATATCGCTGTTCAGTTTGGTGTGCATCCCGCTCACCTACGGCTTGTGATACCTCAGCATACCGACCGAGTGCAGATTGGAAGCAACTACCACGATTATCGTAACGGACCAAGTGACATCGGATCTCTGGTTACAGTAGACTTGGTGACACTGCCAGGTTTGCAGAAAGTCGGGAATGGGAGGGGCGGTTTGCAGGGTGTCCTGACAATTGTACCTTGTGAAATCTGCACTCAAACGGACGCGGAATAGGCCGCTTTACTCGGCTGGCTTCATTAAACGGTTTCGTAGGCCGTGCGACAGGAGCCCGGAAGTTCCAATTGTGGAGCCTTGATGATGGATAAGGACTCCATAGATGTTGGGAATACCTACGTACGGCCTATCCTAGTTCAATTGTAGGTATGGTGCGTCCAAGAGAGTGGTGGGTTTTCCTGACATTTCCTCGTCAATATTGTTTCTAGACAACAGTCCGAGAAGCAAATCATCGTTTGATATTAGATATCCACAGAAAAGAGGCTCCATATTGTGACTATATTTCTGCTTTGACCGGAGCAAACCAGAGGCAAGCAGTACTGGAACTGAAGCGGCATTAACCACCTATCCTTCTGAAAATTTGTCCAATCTCAGGCATGGACTATCAAGATGCCGTTTATGCAATTATGTTTACTTGTAATACATTTTTTTAGCAAAATACACGGAAATCAGTAGATCATGCCGAGTAGATCATATCACTGATTTCCTGAAGGCTGAGTGCCTTGCAGGTAGATTTTAGACACGTCACTATCACTATGGTACCATTGCATGCGGCTGAGAAGGCGTTCTGAATCTTTCATCGACAAATTAACACCTTCTTTTGGCCGCAAGCGGCCTCGCTGGTTAGGTCTAGACTTTTCTGGTGTTCAAATGCAAGCCTTCGGAGAGACAAGGCTAGTAGGTACGGAGGGATGAGGCTGAGCTTCCCAATCTTTGACCTCTCTGGCTTTCCGGCATACCCGGGCTAATAATATGGTTTATGAGAAAGTCATAAGTTCTCATTTCTCTCGTTTCGGTGCCCGCCAATGGACTGCCGGAAATCTGGTGTTGCTTATTAGTCCCAATGGGAGGAGAGCTTAACGGACTGTGGGATGTTCCCACCAAGACAGTGTCATCTGGTATTGGTATGTCCGTGTGGAATGGACTGGCAGCCTTGCTTGTCACGATACCGGTTGTAACCCTCACGATAAACACGATAAGACTTGGACATAGAGCATGGCCGCAGACGCGCGTCTTGAATTACGGGCTTATATGTCTGAGCCTGTAAGTCGAAAGCTCAACTCCTAGCACTGTGGGAAATATTTGAACCAGAGAATAATAATAACGCTCATCCAGATACCTCATTGTCCACTGGATTGACTCCATCATCCACGTATCTCGAACGAAAGTGACGTACGGCTATATCCTCATTTCAACCTTCTTCAGCGTCCTCAAGATTATATCGGACGTGCTTGTCCTTTGCGGGAGTCTGAAGCTGCTCTTTCGACTCGAACACCTATCTCCTCGGTTTGGAATGGTAGAGTACAGAGGGTTAAACCGGCTCTTCCTCGCATTCCTCTTTCTTTCATTTTATCATATCTGCCTCCTTTTTGCGCGTGATATCGCTTGGTTGTACGCTTCGGACCCTCAGGTCATACAACTACTCGCAACGGCTCGGAATGGGTTTGAAATCGCATATATGGCCATGCAGTTTTTGGGAGCAGTGATTGCGTTCTCTTGGGCTCGTGATCTTGATACGGTATCCATCAGCGGCTACTATCAGAGATATATAGTAAGCACAGACATCTGTTGTTATAGATCCTTGTTCTCGGAGGACTCGAAATGGCTGATTTCAGATTATAGCGGGAGGCACCTGTTTCATTACTCTGCCTTGTTGCGCGCTCTTTCTGTGAGATTGTCATCGTTGGTCAGCTAGACCGATGGCCGGCGCATTTGGCAACAATCTTCCGTGCCAGAGACGTTACGTACAGTCTCTTCAGTATAGCCTTTACCTTGTTCATATCCTTTAGACAGCCGAATAGTCCCAAGGATAGCTATATTGCGAAAGAGGAAGACGAAGTACAGGAGGTGAAGCTGTGGGTCTTGCAAGCAATTGAGCGGAAGTCTGAGAGTGGAAGAGCTACGGCGCCAGAATTGGAAAGTACACTTCAACAACTCGAAAGGGAGTTGGAGTCCAAGAAAGTTTTGCAGAATGGTTTTCTTGTACCAAAAGATACGCAGGGTTTGAATTATAGGTCGACAGAGGCACAGCTCCTAGAAATTGAGCGGATCCGGATGTTGTACAGAGCATGGACACCTGTCTGTAAGGGATGAAAATATGACAATCTCTTTTTGAATGGTACCGGTACTTTACAATGAATTGGACAACTAAATGAAATCGACTTGTCGCCATCTCCGTTAATATCTGCCCAGAAGTTGTTTACTTCAATTCCCTTTCAATGATTTATCCCCGACCTCAGCATCGCGCATGCAACCTGCATTGCCGGCTCCACATGGCGTCTCGGCGGGCATACGTAATTCGGAGGCAGCAAAAATACGTATCTTACCAGTACTCGCTTCTCATCCGTCACCAGGTGGACTTTTCCATGTGGGCTAGGTGCATACGCCGCAAGTTCGCACCCCAACATCACGTTTAAGTTGTTCAGTGCGCTGTGCCTCCAGCTTTGTCCCGTACTTCCAGAAAAGTGAATGGAGGTCCGTTGGTCGTCGCCGAGGTATATTCCTGACCCATAGGTGGAGCCATGCAAAATGGCCCGCCCGTGCATAATCCGAAGACCGTTGGCGAGGATAGAAAATAAGCGTGATGCGGTCGTGCCGTGGAACGCGATGTTGCTATTCAAGGAGGCACCAGTCTGAGCTTGGTATTGAACCTCGCGTTCGTAGTGCGAGTTGAGAAGGATGAACTGTTTAGAGTGTCCCATGCTCGGGACGCGGAAACCATCGGGCACTGAAAGCATGAAACCACGGAACTTGAGGCACATCCATAAAAGTAGATCCTCGCGGTCCTTGCCGTAACCATCGTTGCTGCTGAGATGAATTGCAGTGTAAAGGTCATCGGCAGTTTGAAGGGTTGCAAGTGGCGGTAAAGAGTCAATTATCGACCTGAGTCGCGATGGAAGTAGGGGACAATCAGGGAGAAGATCGATAGGTGCGGTGTCCGTAGCAGCGGCGTAGATACTGGTAAGCAGGAGGTCCACAGCCAGCGGGTCAACAATCAGATTGTGCAACTGGACTTCAAGCGATGCCTTCCGGAGGTTGGTGGAGCAGCGTTGAGAACAGGACGTTGGCTTCCAAAGTTTGACAGATAGAGATCTGGAACAGAGCACGCAAGAGTGTGGAGACTGATTGATGAGGTTTTCGACAAGTGAGTGGATATCTTTGAGGATGGTTTGGCCTGTCGACAAAGTGTTTAAGAGAAATCCATGAACTTGTACCGCTATGGTACATGTAAACAGGTCCATAGGTTTATTGCAAAGCCATTGAGTTGGCCGAACTTCCGGGGAGTCCCAGACCTCGTGATGGGCAAGGTCATCATCCTGGGGATGGTAATGGATGCAGAATCGTGCTGCTAGATCGGTTCCACGCTTGCTTTGCAAGCAGAGTCGGACAATGAGGATTCGAGCATGAGCAGGTATGCCTCTTGCGCGGCGCTGAAGATCTCCAAGAGTCGTGAGAGGGAAGCTAATCTCATACTCGCCATGTCCATCCAAGATCGTCTCGACAGCTTCTGTCAAGTTGCCGTTCAAGTTTTCGTTGATCGATCGTCCGCCTCTTGGGCTCTCCACGCCAATTCGGTCAAGCAACCTGTCAGCCCGCCCTGGCTCCTGACGCCGCAGTCGTACTCGCAGCGTCTCTAGGTCTCTTGCTCGACGAATCAGAGAGTCATGAGCCCCCAGGAGCCGAGTAACTGTAGCCCTTATCAAGAATGGGGTAGGTAGAACAGAACCGTTCGGGAAGAGAAGGTTTTGTATGCAGAGGAACGCTTCTGAATCTTGGCTGGAATTTTCTGGGAGATGTCGCCATGCATTGATCAGGCCGTTTAAACCTTCTGGTGGCCACCCGTCTCTCAGCCTTACTAGCACTGACTCGCAAACTTGTCTCCCACGAACAGTGACCTTTTGAATAGCAAGCAAACAATTGAGGACCAGCTCAACTTGACTACCATCATGACCAATGTGGGCCAAGATTTGTCGGGTTAGTTGTGTCCGGTTGACCCTATTCTGAAAAATGTCGAGGAGCTGTCCAAAATGTGCTTGATTGCTTGGGAAATAGATCCATACAAATTCTCGTCGCCCAAATTGACTTTCAAGGATGAAATCAACGGCATTTGGGGGTTGAGTCACTTTGTCCCACCATTGCAGTTGCTCCTGGGTAAGTCCAGTCCCTGAAATAGGGAGATGGGAGCGAACTGGATCGATCAAATTTTTCAAGTCGAGGACATATGTCTGCCACTGATCGAGCTCAATCGATTTCGCGACCTTCTCTAGATACCCATCACCTTGCTCTTGAATCAAGGCAGTGAGTAATAGAAGCCAGCAGGGATTTTCCAACTGGTTCAGGTGACGGCGTTCTTTGATGTATTTCGCAAAATTTTGGACGCTCTGTATGTTACCCGCCTGTAACAGGTGCCTCATTTCATCCACGTACAAGTCAACTTCTACGAGCATGACGGAGAGACATTCAGTATACCAAGCGTATTCTAGGCTCTTGACTCTCCCAATTATGCGTGCAAAATCCGCTCGACTTGTGTCAGGAGACGTTCGCCAGAATTGTACTTCCTTTTGGATTTCATCCAGCGTAAATTGCTTACCGGTGGATATTTCAAGTCCACCAATGATGCTCTCCAGGAAGGACTTGAAGCGGAATCCGTCGCGATTACCCGTCTCTTGGACATGGTGGAAGATTGCTTCAACACTATCCCGTGGTGGAATCCTAGAGAAGCGCTTAATGACTCCCGATGGAACATATTCATGCACCCAGCGAGCGCGGCATATCGCAGAGCCCAGATCGTAAATGAGCATTCCAACATACTCGCCGGTTAAACCGTCTAACAATTGACCACGAAAGACATCTTGAGCTTGCTTAAGGGTATCCGTTGTGAGATCGGCTATGCCGTGCGGTGTAATGGTACTGGTTCGTTCGAAAACGGCATAGGTCAAGTTTGTGAGGGTAGTGATCACGAATACGATTCGGTCTTCTAGAGTCGAGTGTTGATGTGAATTTTTGAGTAGGCATACCAGTGCCTGGCACAAACCGTTGTCTCTTGTGGCTACACCCAATTCGAGTAGGGCCATACCGTCAACGTCAGGGGACGGCTCAATGCAGGTGTGGATGAACAAGTCGATGGCGGCACGTCCGACGCAATGAGCTTGGTAGAGGATATCGAGGACTCTATCAAGAGTCGCCAAGTCTTGTGGGCGTACATATAATCGCTCGTAGCAGGTTGGCTCAAGCAACTGCAGACTCTCGTGCGCTCGAGCAACCATGTCGGGACCATCCAAGTCGTAGATGTGTAGCAGCTTCACCCGTTGCTCATCATCCAAGTCTGCATGTTCCCATTCACGAATCCGTTCCAGTTTTGGACGCCATATTTTTAGGAGATGCCAGCTCGGGAAGAAGTCATCAAGTAGCTGCAAAACCTCATTCCCGACTGTTTCTTCGTTGATATCCTGAAGCCAGGAACATGTGTTGTATAGGGTTGCAAAACATCGTTGCTGGATGAAATGAGGCACCTCACGCTCAACCCGCGATCGAGTGCTCGATATTGCCAGGACAGCCCATATAATGTCGTTGGTTATGAACTTTGTCACTATCCGAGCGATAAGGGCTTCAGTCAGTTGCCTAATCCAGTCAAGGTGTCTTTGCTGGCTTGATAGTAACACCAAAAGTGCCCGGACGACTCTTATCTCCTCTTCACCAACTATCGCGGGCCTTAACTGATAGGCGATGCCAACACAGCGAAGGTATCGCTCTGCAGTTAAGTCCTTCAGCGCTAGGAGATACATCGATGCAAGAAACGGAGAAAAGGCGGAGAAACAAGAAAGCACAGCGATATCTCGAGTCGACGGCGATTTTTCCACATGGTCGTTAATCAAATCGCGCAGAAGATTATCGCGTTCATCGCCTATGGAAGTCTCAGACGCAACGCCAGCAGTTGATACTCTCAGTGCCTCAACCCATGATGACTTAGGGTGAGGATGACCATTGGTGAGGTATTCCGCCAGCTCGGAGAAAGCCTCAACCTGTTGCTGCCATCTCCTTCTGGAAGATGACACATCATTCCTAGTGAGGAGAGCCTGGGGTCTCCACTTCATCGGTCGCGCTCCTGGATTAGGATGGCATAGGGTAGTTTTCGTCTCAAGGATCGAACCATATGGCAGAGACAAAAAATAAGCCTGTGTTTTAGATTCTAGGACTAAAATGCGGGAACAAAATGACTAGAGATGGAGAGGATGAATGAGTTGCGAGGCTGAAGCATGAAGAGATAATAATACCCGTGATAATTTCTTGTGCAAGGCAGACAAGAAAGGCCAGAGTTCAGCCTCATGGCGGGGGTTCAGGCACAACCGAAATACCAGCTTCAGTGCTGAAGGGTATCTATGTTTAACATGCGCGATAGGTTCCTAGCCACAAATTGGATCGCGTTAATTGGTCCCATACTTGGATCTTGATACTCTCTGGGATGAAGTCATGGAGTAGCCTCAGCCTTGCGATACGACCACCGGTGCTCATCTTGGAGAACGATATAGTGAACCTGTATACCTTCGCCATTAGCTATACCTCTAAAACTTAAGGACTCACAATGGGGAACTTCGCTTCGCCTAATTCAGAAGACCTTAAAGATGACAAGGAGACAAATGTGCTGGCAGAGCTCTACCATGCTCTCGACTCACAGCCCACGGGTGTCGAGATACACGAGATGTTGGTTGGTGCCTGGGAGTCAATAGGGGAATTAGGTAAACACTCACATACCATAGACATTGAAGTTCTGGCAGATGCTGATGATCACAATGGGTAGACATGGCATATGGTGCTGCCGATGTGCTTCTTCAGCTTGACCCCCGAAACAACGTAGCATCGGAATACCTTCGGCATACAAAGTTCAGCAGAAGTCGGGACGAGAGAATGTCTGCATGCGAGGTTCTCCATATGGAGAAAAGGCTAGAAAAAGGTTATAGATCGCTCCGTCTTGACGCCGAAATCCTCAGTGTGGAGCTCTCATCGCCATTCATTCGGGATGCCTCAGACAATCAAGCAAAGGCATTGTCCGTTCTTGATTCAATCAGCAGCGGCAAGGTTTCATCCGCGGTATCCGTCAGCCAACCGGTCTCGGTACGCGAGGCCGCCAGAGGAGTCCTTGCCAACTTCGAGCAGGCAACGGAGCTGATACTGGAGGATTTTGAAGAAGTCGTGCAATGGATGACGAATCAAATCGGGAAACTAGACACAGAAAAGATCCGACAAAGGCTCGCAAAACGACGGACGCATCTCGAAGCCGCGCTCCCCGAGTCGATGCAGAAGAACATCGCCACGGCGTTTCAGCTGACCGAAAGAGACCATCTGCAGAGGAAGTACGAGAACACAGAGACTATATACGGAGATAAAATAGAAGATATCCCGCCGGCGAACTTCTTCGTCTCGGAAGATAACTATGCCTTTGATATGGAAGAGCTAGCTCAGGGCATCGCGATCCAAGACGGGGTGATGCGAAACCTGCTCAGCCGGCAAATGTTCTCGCAGTCCGACATCCAGACCATTCTCGCGCACCCGCTCGGCGAGCGCTTAAAGCCCTTAGAGGAGGCACAGCAGCGATTGAAGAAGGGCGTCCGCACCGCCACGATCGCCCGGATCGAGGAACTGGGGAAGATCATGCTGGCGGATCACTCCATGGACGGCGGGAAGAGTCAGGAAGGGGTGGAGGAATTCCTCGCGTTCGTCGCGACGCTTCCGTCCGCGGAACAGGATACCGTCAGGCAACTGAAGGTACCGGCGGCAGATAATCATACGGGGCAGCCGTTCGACTATTCCATTGCGGAATCCATCGATGATGCGAGAGCGGGGACGACATGCTATCACAAGGTAAGCCATCCGCCCTATTCTAGAGATATATTGGGGACAAAACTCACTCTGATAGGTTGGCGACTTTCTATCTCAAGCCGCGGATTTCCTGCGCCAGCAATAGCGACGAACTTTTCATCTTCAACTATCCGACGTAGACCTACATGTTCCGGATAAAGTACGTGCTAGAGGGATTGTAAAGGTCGCGTGGAGGGCGACACGTACAAATGGCACGATCTCATGACCTTTACGAACGGAAGAGGGGAGGCTACCGGCTCTTTTATATAAAAAGGCAAGCAAGTGTTCACAGAATCAAAAACATTGATGATCATAAATATATTACCGTTTTCGTTGTTTGATTTCGATATCGATGCGATAATAATGAGGTTTCGATATTCAGTCACGTGAAACGCGGTCTATCTTGAAATCCTTCACCGAAGTATCAGAGTCAGGGCTCTGTCACAAAAGCAGGTCGTCAACCCCATCTCACAAGCTACCAAGACGTAGGCACATAATAGTAAAGACAAGCTTTTATAGAATCATCTGTACTAGGTACCTAGGTATTCGTACCCGGCATCTTAAATCCGCCCAGCGCCGATCCATGCGATAATGCTGGAAGAAAATGGACGCATGCACAACATGAAAATGCCTGCTGCCGATCCATGAGCGGATGGAATTCCGAATTTGTGTCGTTCGTTTCGCAAAACGACGACCGAGAAGTGTGTGTTGTGTTCTATGACATTATCATCGTGCCTGTTTGATCGTCTCCATCTATTGAGTGTGGATCGAATCCACTGCGTGCATCCATGCGATGCGAAAACCCCCTCTCTCGCTTCGCTGCTTATCGTCGCATTGCGTGAGAATCTTCCGAAAAGGTGGGAAGAAGAATGACGCGGTCGGACGGGAGGATAAAGGAAGGAAGGGAAGGGACAGGAAGAGGTAGTGAAGAAGCCCGAAAGAACCATCCGCTAACCCGGAGAGAGGGGCATGGAAAAGGAAGAAAATCCGCCGAGCAAGATGCTGGGATGCATCGTTGTACACTGGCAAATGCGCTGAACCACCGCTCGACAACCGCTCGACAACCGCTCACCAACACCAACACCGCCAACATCAACATCACCAACACCAACACTGAACGCCCTACCACAGGGACACCTCAAACCACCTTCTCACCCTCCTTCTTCTTCCCCACCGCGTCCGTCGTCGGCACCACACAGTCCCCCTCTCCAACCCTCACCTCCACTGTCTGCCCCCCCTCCTTCGCATACTCCTCCAACTCCTGAATGACCATGGTCGTATTATCCGCCGGCGCGGGACTGTTGTTCGCGATGCGGGTGTGCTCTTCATGTTCGTGCTCGTACCCCGAATGATGATCGGCGTACTCGAACACCTCCGTCGCGCCTTCGTAGGATCCCTGCATCTCGTCGTCGAAGGTGGCGGCAGTGTCGCTGCTCGGGCTGCGCCCGCCGGCAACCATACTGTCATCGGACCCATCACCAGCCTCGTTCCCAGAGTCATCGATCTCATTCCCGAGCTTATCCGCCCGTGCGAAGCTCCACGTGCTCTGATAGGCAGGCGGGGCCGGCTCCACGGTGAACAACCCGTCGACGAACCCATTGTCGTGGTGGTCGACATCAATCATCCTCTCGTCGTCGACTTCCGTCGCGGCTTCCGAGTCCAAGCCATCCCCGCGCGACCGGGCTCCCGCTCCGGCTGCGGTCGAGCCGGCCCGCGAGCCTCTCGACGAGCCAGCGAGGGACGAGCCGGCGCGAAGTTTCCCCTTTCCCGACAGCGGGTTGGGCGAATTGTCGCGGGTGTCGTCCTCCGCCTCATCCTCGTCCTCGGACTGAGGGTGGTGGAAGTCGTGGACGAGCTGCTGAAGGTAGGCGGGCCCGAGCGGGGCGGATGAGCGGCGGCGGTAGAAAAGGAGGTAGGCGGAGGAGGTGACGATTTGGTTCTCAGAGATGGTGGAGACGCTGGAGTCGTTGTAGTTGTACCAGACGTTGTTGATGAAGTTCTTAGCGAACGCGGTGTAGTGCCCGCCGCCCATGTGGCCCATGTGGTTGTCCACGCCGAAGAGATCGTACGTATAGTCCTTCCCCTCGTCTTTCAACTCCACGAAATCGTTCAGGTCGAGCCCGTCGATCGGGAAGTCGACCAGCACGCCGAGTTTGTTGCGCAGGTCGCGGTTGGAGCTAAAGCGCTTGAGGTGCACCACCAGGATGTCCGGCAGCGTCCACACGTTGAGCGTCTTTGCAGCCCGCACGTTGTCTTTGCAGCATCCGCAATACCAGACGTTCTCCTCGGAAAGAATCTCCGTCTTCGACGAGTCCGCGAAGCAATCCTGCAACGTGATGCCCTTGCGCGCCCGACGCGTCCGACGGGCCTTCTTCTCCTCATATTCCGGATCCTCGATCACCGGCGCCGCGTCGAAGCTGTCCATGCCGCGCCCCTCCGCGTCGTTCTCGCGCTTCGCGCCGAAGTACACGTCGAAACACTTCTTGGACCACTCGCACACCAGGAAGTCGCCATTGTTGACAATCAGCCCGCCGCCATCGCTGTCTTCCAGCTCATACTCCTGCGTCGCGAAGCTGTTCGCTGTCTGCGCCGCTTTGCCTTTGCGTGCTTGTTTTCCGTGCTTGTTTTTGAACTTCTTGTTTTGTGCGTGGCGGTGCGCGCCTTTCGCTTTATGCGACAAGAGCTTCGGTGCGAGCGGTGGGAGCTCATCCTCATCCTCGCTCTCCGGCGTGGCGACGGGTTGAGTGGACTGGCCCGACAACTCGTCATCTGAGCTGTTGGCAGATTGCGCATCAGACGGGGGATCTGAGTGCTTCGGAGCGTTACGTTTCGCGACCATTTCGGCGCGCTTGTCAAGACTGATGGCGCCTCTGGTGTCGTTGGGGGCGTTGGTGCCGATGGGCAGGGCGGCGTCGCCACCGACTCTTTGGATGAGCACTTCGAAGACATTCTGAAGCTCGGGCGGGATCATCTCGCCGGGCTTGAGGAATGCCGGCTCGCTATCTAGTGGCACATTCTCCGTGTCAGGAGTGTCGGGCTGTTTGGAAGAGTCACCTGTTTCAGGAGAGTTCGACACTTCGAGGAGATCTTCCCCTTCGACCGAGCTGGTCTTGATGGAGGGATCGAGGTTTGACGATGCGTCTTCCTCGGTCGTGATGACGGGATCATCGCTGCCGGGAGAAGTGGAGTCAGAAGTAATTTCCTCGTCCCACATCGACAGCGTGGTCATTTGATGTGCCTTCACGAGACACTTCTTGTAGATGAGGTCTCGATCTTGCGCCTCCTCGGGGGTCAGTGTCATCAGCGTAGGCCAAAGCACACATCCACCCGTATTGCTGTGGTATGATGAAGAGCTCGCGCCCTTCACTTTGTGCCAAACATTGACCAACATGTGCTCCTGCACCTCCGTCGGGCCATCAACACCCAGCAGTGACCGCACTTTCTTCGGTCCCTTCTCGGGCAACGCGGAGAAGTTCGACGGCACGTGTTCGACCTCGTAGGCGAAGAGCACGTCGGCTGGCTGGAGGCCGCATTCGGCGATGGCGGCGTTGTCCAGCAGGTGATTGTACAGCTTGCCATGGAACACGTCAAAGATGAAGAGACGTCGCCAATCGTCGCAGCCGACTTGATTGCAGATGTAGATTTTGAGCTGCTTGATGGAGGAGTTTCTGTCGATGTCGACAAGCAGCTTGAGGACGGGTCCGGAGACCGGAACGAAACGGATTTCGTGCTGGAAGGGTTGCTCGATGGGGAGTTGGAGGGAGATGAGTGAGTATGGGTCAAATGTGATGCTCGTCTTCTCGCAGTCCGGGCAAAGCATAGTGTTCTTGTAGTACCCGTTGAACAGATCCATGATGACCGAATCGTTTCTCGCCGCATAATTGGAGCGAATCTGATTGCCAAGATGGATGACAGCCTGCGGATCATGCACCGTGTTGTCGTCCGACTCCGGATTCTCAATGTACGGTTTCTTGAGAATGCGATTGAGATCCTCATGCAACGCGTCCACGAGGAAGCTCAGCAGTTCCTGCGAATCATGCTGCTGGTAGCCAGAGAACTGCGGCGCACATTTGCTGGTCACCCTCTTGAAATTGCTGGGCGTCACCGGGACATCCGATTCGAACAACTGCTTGAGAAGCTCGGCGTACGACTTCGCCATCTGGCCGCTGTGCCCGATCGGATTGTCGGGGTTCAACTCCTTGCGATACTCGTTTCGGAGGAAGTAGATGCTCAGCTCCGGGATGCTCTTGAGACATTGCAACGCCGAGTTCATGAAGCAGGTGTTTCCCAGATTCGACAAGCCGACCGTGCCGGGGATCTTGCGCCTCTGCAACCTCTTCGACTTCGGACGGCCTCGTGCTGTATGTTGAGGGACGGGGCTATTCCTGCGGCTGCCCGTCTCCGACTGCGCCTGGCTCTTGGTTCCAGCCCCCCGGGGCTGCTTGGCGGACTCCGATTGGAACCGCTCCACTTTCCCAGTGGTGGTTTGCTCGAAGATCAAGACTTGACTGGCTTGCAGACCGATAGTGGCGAGCTCCAGATGACCGTTGTAATTCTTGTTCATGGATTCGTCCTTAACATCGACCAACTCCCGCTGCGTGCCTTCCGCCATATCATTGAAGGTTTTCAGATCGATGAGCATGGTTTCAGGTGAGTTTGATGATGACTCGGGTGCGGGCAGGCTTGGCCCTTCAACCGACACGCCCATTTCGGCGTCGGTGACGCCTGGCAAGGTCTCAATTCGTCGCCACACGCGAACTTTGTGCTCAAAAACAATATCAAGCGCTCGCTTCGCAAGCATGAGAAAAGTGATAAACAACATGCTTCGGCTCGCAAGGATTTTGGGTGCAGGCTTGGCATCATCGCCGTCGCCGATTTTGGTGAGGGTGAAGACCGGTGGGTAGGTCTCGTACATGAGATTATGCACCTCCGCCTCAGGGGCGGCGTCGTGCACATAGCGAGTGAGGATGTGTTCCGTGCTCTTAACTTTGTACCACGCCATGATCTTGTTGAATGCTTCTTCCGGGAGGACCTCGAAGTCCGTGCCCATTCGCAGATCCGGACGGATCGGGATGAACGGCTGCCCTTTTTCATCGATGAGATTGGAGTCCCATGCTGTAGAATAAGTTAGCACAGCACGACATATTGCAAGGGAAAACACGAACCTCCTTCGGGAAGCAGAGTGGAATTGTCCACGGGTCCAATCTCCCCATCCACGGCAGCCTTGCCAAATTCTCCCGCCTTCGCATCTGAGGTGCGCGAAAGCACTCGCTGAAGCCACGGCTTCGCAACCAGGTACCCCACCTGTCCATCCTTCAGCTCTTTCCCAATCAACCCCATCACAATGCTTCGCTGCTCATCAATCGATGGCGGCGTCGCCGTTCCTGAAGATCGTTCATCGCTGGTCTGCTGCACCGACGTGTCCGGCGACGACGCCTCCTGGGTGGTCGCACCACTGGAGTCCGGCAGCGACTGCATCGTGGCATCCGACCCCTCGGTTTGCGAGCGAGCGGATCGCCGGTCTTCTCCACCGCGAAGGTTCGGTCGGCTGATTTTCTCCCGCTCGAACTCCATCTCCTCCTGCGGCACCGCATCGTTCTCGTCCTCCATATCGGATGCGGGACGCTTAGTGGGGGACGAGGAGCGAGGGGCACGGGGGACGGAAGGCTTTCTGGGGTCGTGCTCGGTGGGCGGGGAGGACGAGAACTCGGTGCCGTTGGTGTCGGCGGGGGGGGAGTCATGGTTGTTCTCGGAGGGTGAGGAGGACATCTCGCCTTGGGAATCGAGGGTCAAGTTCGCGTAGAGGGAGGAGGGGGAGCTGGCGTTGGTGGGTTGATCGGACGGGGCGGCGGATTGACGAGCCGCCGCGGCGTTCTCGATGGCGGCGTCCAACACCTCGTCCTGCATGTGGGGTGGTAGCGACGGGGCGGACGGAGTTGCAGAGGATCTTCGGGCGCGGGACGCGGACGTAGAAGTAGCAGTCGGGGGCTTGGAGGCGGAACGAGGTGACGAACGCCGGGGCGCCGCTTTGGCTCGTTCGGCCTCGCTGGTTTGGTGCGTGTCTGAGACGACCTTGTCCGAGAGAGACAGAGGAGGTCCTTTATCGTGTAAAGGGCGTTGTTCGGGCGGGGGTTGGGAGAGTTTGCGTTTCTTTGCCGGAGCCGTCGTGACTGCGGTTGTCGGTATCTACCTCTGGAGCCCGTGGATCGGGAGCCCCAAGGGTAGAAAAAAAAAACTCGGGATTCGGAAGAACAGGGAGATGAGGACGCGTGGGGAATGAACGACCACCACACGACTTTTTTCTTTTTCTCTCCGAAAGGAAAGACGGAAGGGGGAATTAAAGGGTGGTGCGTTGACCAGACACACCTGCACACCAAAGTCCCGTGAGGAGGATTATGATGGAGGTTGAGGGTGACGGTTGCACGGGGGGTGGTGGAGGTAGAGGAGGTGGACGAGGTGGTGGTGGTAGACGGGTGAATGATTTCGGGGGTGTGGGATGATGACGGGGAGGGTACGGAAATAGCGTGTGTACGGTACCGCGGAAGGTGCAATGGGTGATGGCCAATGGGGGGAAGCTTGACTGCAGTTGACAGGGAAGTGGCTGTGAAAGTGGCTGTATAGGGACTACGGCAATTTCCGTTGGTGAGTGGAAAGTGCAGTGACGAAATGGATTTTAGACTCTCTGAAGACAGAACCTCCGAAAATAGAAAGAAACTGCCAAACTGGGGAGCTACCAGAGCCGCCAGAAGCTGGAGAATTGAGAATTGAAAGGCGAGGGGTGAGTGCTTGGTTGGGTTGGAAATATTGAATTGAGGGAACTCGCTGAAATTCGATGAACCAGGGGGTTGCTGCGTAGCCAATGCTTGCAATAATGCTTGCTGACGAGAGCAGTCAATGTTTGCGAACCGCAAAAGAATTGAAAAAAGTTGCATGCAAAATGTAAGGAATGCCGAGAATCGAATCGAATTGGGAAAAGCAAGAGTGCGAATGCGAAAAAGAAAAGTGGATGAGTGAGAAAGAGATGGGAAGTGGGAAAGATGAAGTGTGTGTGGACTTCGGGTCGAATGCGAGGTGGATTTCGCATTCAGTTAGGATAGGTTATAATAGGGATTATATTCACTCAATAAGGACGTCAATAAGGTGAAGTGGTTCTCAACAGAGGGTGGAAACTGGTCAATAGCATCGTGAGTGGCTTCTATTGAAGTGATTCCCTCCACGATCAGGTAGACCACGCTCACTATATTCACTCTCGTCTGGATCGGGTGACACCTGAACTGATAATCGAAGAGACTAAGCTTACGCGCCTGATAGGAATTCAGATTGGCGAAGGGTAAGTGGTTACCTTGCATCCACTCGGGAAATCCATCTCGTTGCACTCAACGGCCAATTCGGTCCATGGTTCATGATGATCCCTTGCTTGGATTTGATTTTTTGACGCTCTTTCTCGCGTCGCCTATTCGAACCGATCATACCGGCTATCCATAATGTATATAGTGTGTGCAATGAAGGCTTTACATGCGTCCTTGCTCAACGTATCCCCGTCATCGCGTGTACCAGAGGCGTCCAAGACCTCTGGATGTCCATCCATCCATCCATCCGACCAATGCATAAAAGCTTGACACGCACAGACATCTCTAATCCACCTACTTCCCCCCCGAATTCAACCACGCAAACGCACTCCCGGGCACCTTACTCCCCTTCTCCCTCCCTCGATTCTCCTTCTCCTTTCCCCCCTCTCTCACCACCGCACCCTTCCCCCCCTCCTCCTCCCCCTCCTCACTACTCCCCCTCCTCTTCCCCTCCTCAAAAAAACGACTCTGCCCTCCCACCGCCGCCCCACTGACCGAAAACCCCCGCGACGTCGCCCGCACGGGTTTGAGGACCTTGATGCCGTGGTCGCGTGCGCGCGGCGTCGCGGACGCGCCGCTGAGGGACTTGGTCGCGGTGGACCAGTCCATTTGGGTGCGGGTGCTGGTGGAGGCGGGCGGGGTGGATGCGGAGGCGGAGGGAGGCGCGGAGGTGGTGGCGGAGGCGTCGTCGCGGCGCCAGCTGGTAGTGGTCCAGGCGGAGGCGGAGGTGGAAGTGGCGCTGGGGGGGCGGAGGGACGCGGAGGAGGGGGCGGGGGTGTAGGTGGTGCTGGTGGGGGGGCGGTCTTTGGAGGGGGATTGGGTGGTGAGGGTGGTGAGTTTGGGGCGGTGGGCGAGGCCGGGGATGTCGGTGGCGGGTTGGGGGAGGTCGGGGTTGTGGGCGGATGCGGTTGAGGGGGCGGGAGGAGAGCCGGTGGGTTCGGTGGTGGAGAGAGGCGTGCCGGTGCGGTCGGGGCGGGTGCGCCAATTGGTTTCGAGATCGGTGGTGGGGGGTTCGTCGGGGAGGACCTCCTTTCGAATCCGATGGCCGATGCCGCTGCTGGTGAAGAGGGACTTGAAAGTTCGGTCATCTTCAGGACGGACGAGCGGAACAGACAGTTTCGTGCGGTCGTCGTCGAACAGAATAAGCGTGTTGGTGGAGAAAAGCACGTCCGCGTTGTGAGCGCGGAGGATATCACTCCCCAAGAAGATCTGAATGGCCTTCGGATTTTCGTTGGCGCCTGCGATGTCAACTACGGTAAACTCCACGGTGAGAGAGGGTAGCTGCGGGACCGGGCTACTGGACCGAGAGGATGCTGGGTGGGTGATCGCCTCGGGAAGATAGACCGCGAGCTTCAATTTCTGGTTCCCCTCGTCATCGGCCGTGATCTGAGAGCGAAACTGCAGCCGATCAATGATGCGGACGTCAAGAAACGAAGTGTATGATCCTGTACAGATCGCCGCATAAAGCAGAGAGTCGTGCTTGAAGTTCGTGTTCAACCAACAGCGAATGATTGACGGCACGGATCCTAGGATGAACAGTCCAGGTGAGAGTCCCGGAGTCTCAACCGGAGACGGGTTCGACAAACCGAACGCGGAGGTTTCCAACCCCATGCTGTTGGCTCTTCCGGATGCGAGGGAGTGCACGGAGTGACCCGCAGAGCTTTGCCGTCCATCAGACTTGTGAGAGTACGTCCGCTCGATCATCGGATGAGTGCCCATTCCACTTCCGGTCCGAGAGATGAGGTCGAGGGATGATCTCTGCGTGTGTGACCAATGGCCCTGATTCGCCGACTCGTCGAACCGCACGCTATTTGCCCGCGAAGTCGTACCCAATCGGCGGGGTTCATCGTCCGCATCGAGATGGAGGCTGCCAATGAGGTTGGCTTCTTGGTCGTCGAAGTCGGTGAACACGTCGACATGAGGTTGCTGGACGGGAACTATCTCCATTGTCAGTTTGGACGATATCAATGGCCAGTTGTGTATTGCATTGCGCACCTTGCTGCGGAGTCCCACCGAGCACGCTCGGGAACGCAGATGAGGACCCCCACAACGACTTCAACCGTGCCTCATCCTCCCGCTGTCTCTCCAATCGCGCCAAACGCTCCGAGTGCTCCACCTGCGTCTGTCGAACTTGATGCATATCCGTCTGGAAGCGCCACGCATCCTCACGAGGGGTAAACGCCACGCTCTGCGGATCCATGGCCATGGACGCTATACTCGTTGGGGAGTCGTGTCACGGTCGGCGGTGAATTAGTAGTCCGGCCGGGCGAGTGAGAGAACGGACGAGAGAGTGGAAAAGGAACGCAGTGGCGGTAGAATCAACAATCGCATGCCCCAACCCTACACCTCCAACACCGAATTCGCAACGCCGTCCCGACCGTTCTCTACTCCTCCACCCACGGATTGTCGGGGTTGTTTGTATTTATAGCCTTCGCAGAATCTCGCCGTATTGGAGTCTAGGGGATTCAGGAGGATAGGAGTGAAAGAGGGGAGACGTGGTGGGATTGGTTGAGGAGGGGAACCAGGCAACGGCGGCGATTTGTCGGGGATGTTTTCAAGTGGCGGCCACACTGGAGTTCATTAGCTATGGACCGGTGATAGGCAATGGGAAAATCAAATTCACATGGAAGGGCAATTAATAGCAGGCAATGTCCTACCTCAAATTCAGATTGTTCGACGATGGAGGCGCGAGGTCACAGGCAACGATTGGGATAGGTATGTAGGGATGGAAGGGGGGCAATCACAGTGTCGGTCTGGGTGTTTTTCCAAGAGCGTCGTGTACTTGGAGAGGATGGAGGCTTTGAGAAAATGGTATATAGCGAGCTGAAGAGGACCGTAGCAGATGTAGTGTCGATGAATCAGGTACGGAAGTTGAGAGGATGTTGTTGGATCAATGTGGTGGCTTCCTGTAACCTGAACATCTCGCATCCCTGTCCTCGCCATGATACAGCCTACGGGTAACAGGAGCGCCGTTTTTAGCGGCGAGGGATCTCCGATCACATTTCAATGCTAGATTTCATTATCATCGTCTTCATTTCTAGTATTTACACGCTATGACATCCATGTACAGGTACGGTATACATCATGTCGAGTTTAGTGCAATCCCTTCCGTGGATATTTGGATCTTGAATGCTCCCTATCAAATTCCCATTCGTCTCATCAAGGCTCACCCTCAACTCCTGCTTCTCGACATCGCCATCATCAACCATCGCTGAGATACGCCAAACGCCCCAGAGCTAACGGATTCCCGTTTATCCACTGGAATCAATTTCGCTCCTCCGCTTGGAAAATGCTGCAACACCATCGCCCCCGATAAAGGACCCATCATCTCAATTCCCCTCCCCCTTCGTCTGCTCCTCCTCCTCCGCCGCCTCCGCCGCCCTCAACTTCTCCATCCGCTGCTTATTCCGCTTTCCCAACACCCGCACCGTGTTCTGCCGTTCCACTTCTGTCATCTGCTCCCAATTCGCGACGCGATTCAAGCTCCCATCTTGGTTGACCACGAGCGGTCCCAGATGGTCGAGTTTTACGGTTGATCCGCCGCCGCTGGCATCTAGCGTCGTGGAATTGGAGGAGCGAACGTCCTCTGGAGAGGGAAGGGGAAGAGGGGTTTGTGTCTTTGTTTGGGGATCTTGAGGTTGGGGCATCGTGGGCTTGGGCGTTTTCCCGGTGTGGTTGCATTTAATGTGTGGAAAAACGGATTGCCCAGACGTCGATGTTCGGCGGCTTAACAGGATCGGGGATGAGACACGGAGTCGGCAGAATCTCTGGAATTTCTTTGAAAATGCGTGATTGAGACTCATTGCGAAACTTCGAGATATCTTTTTGAAGGCTACTTGCGGTTGCTGATGGTACTTACAGGCCCAATACTTACCACTGCACCTCTGTCCTCTGCTGGTGTCGACAAAGGTTCTAGAAGGTTCCAGTTTTTGCTGCGATAAAACCCTCCACATCAACTTGTCGGACTCCATGCTCCTTCATCTTCTTTGCAATGCATGATACAGAGTCGAACATTTTCAATTGGCGAAATACGACGCGAGTTCATGAATCTGAAGGCTTTCCAATGCCCGAAGTCAATCGATTGCAGGACGAGATGTTCCAAACCCTCATGTGGTTAGCTGGAGGGATCCTTGACTTTAAGTCTTTAACATCCAGATATAACTACAAGGACCTGTACGATCTAACCCTCTTCGAATCCTTTCTCCGCCCGACTGCATATTACCTCGCTCTCGCATCTGCACCGAAAACGCATTTACGGACCTCACCCCATGATCGCTGCTTTGCTGGACCTTGCGGTAATCTGAATTTCGTGATGACCTTCATTCTTAAATCAACGCCAAGTGACCACTTGCTCGACCGGCTTGATTCGCGCTTTACTTTTGATTGCGTGCAAATAGCTAGTCCTTCTTCAAGCTTAGTTTTGTCGTTTTCTCAATTTCGGTGCCTCTAAGTCGTCGCGAGTTACGCCTGCATCAAGACATAGCCGGTCGGCAATTCCAGAAGCTGGGGAAATACGACCTCCGCATCAATCATACCTAGATCATCCTCCGAATTACTAAAATCATCTACGTACACGGCTATACCAAGACACGGAATCTAATTCGGACAAGGGTAAGATTGGGTTGATATAATCGACGATGGCGCCGTCTAGAAACCCGAAAGAAACGAATCCACCCACTGACCCCAAGAACTCAACCGACATGTCTCTCGCCGCCGGTCTCCAGGGCTTCACTCAAGCCGGCCTTGCGGGCTTCAATTCCGTACTACATCAGATGGTGGACAACGGCAAGCTGGCAAATGTGGTCTCTCTCGTCTCTCACCATGGCCAAATCGTGAACCGTGACGCCTATGGCGTGCTAGACATCTCCGCCGTGCCAACGGTCCCCGCACAAACGGACAGCATCTTCCGCATTGCCTCCATGACCAAACCGATCACCGGAGCGGCCATGATGATCCTTTGGGAAGAAGGAAAATGGAAGCTCGACGACCCCGTCGCGAAGCACATCCCTGAATTCAAGGACCTCCAGGTCATGACCACCGGTACTCCCAGCACCGTCGCCCAAGGAACGCCCATGACCATGGACCAATTAATGAGCCATACCGCCGGCTTCGGCCGCTCCGGCGAGTACACCAACGCCAACATCACCCTCCGCGACGGCGACCTCCAAGCCATGATCGACGTCCTCGCCCAACACCCCCTCTACTACCAACCCGGCAAAGAATGGCGCTACGGCCCCAGCGTCGACATCCAAGGCTATCTCGTCGAAAAGCTCTCCCACCAATCACTCGACGTCTTCTTCCGCGAACGCCTCTTCACCCCTCTCCGAATGCCCGACACCGGCTTCTGGGTGCCCCCCGCCGACGCCGCCCGCGTGTCCCGCATCCACACCTACGACGCCAACCGCACGCTCATCCCCGCCGGCGCCCGCAACACGGTCGTCACGAGCAAGCCGACGTTCCTCGCGGGTGGCGGTGGCCTCATGAGCACGGTCACGGACTACTGGCGGTTCGCGCAGATGATCTTGAACGGGGGGGAGCTGGATGGGGTGCGGATCCTGCAGCCTGAGACAGTGAAGCTGATGCATACGGACGTGCTAGAGCCGGGGGTCGAGGTGACGCTGTATTCGCCGGACACCAAAGGCCTAGGGTTCGGGCTGGACTTTGCGATTCTGGAGGATCCAGGGTTGGCGAAGACGAATCAGGGGGTGGGGAGCTTTTATTGGGGGGGCGCGTTCGGGACGTGGTTCTGGATCGATCCGGTTAATGAGTTAATTGTGATTGGGTTTATTCAGAATCTGGATGGGACAACGCCGGATGGGGCGCCGGATGTGAGGGAGGCGTCGGCGAAGGCGATCTATGCGGCGTTGGAGGGCAACAAGACGACATCCCGGCTTTGAGAGAAAGAGGTTGGTCAGTGAATAATAGTAGTATTCAGCGATTTTGTCAGGTCCAATGGAGACCACATAAGCCTTCAAGTAGGCATCTACGCGAAAATGAGTTCTTCAATCCGAATATAATGGTTAAGGTATATATCTGCTTCGTAGTTGACTTGTGTATCGGCACCTTTTAACTCGGTCCTGGGAGCAGTGTCAACTTTCAGGTAACACATTTTATTAACTAAATATTGGCCTGTAATACGATTACCCCAGCGCCGTTGAAGTGCTACGTTACGCATTTGAGGCACGTTTCGCTCGCGTGGTGAATGTGGCCCAGTGGATTTTTCGACGTTAATGATGTGTCGTCATCATCATGATCGACCATCAACCAGTGGACCTTCACCAGTGGACCTTCACCTGGCTCATGCGCCAGCAACGAATCTCGGCATGTTGCCCAAACTTGACACTTCCGCAACCGCCGCTAATATAGAATCTTCCTTCATGATATAATGTACGATCCTTTTGTGATCCCATCGCAATCATTGGACGCCATTTTTTGTCGCTCGTAGAGCAATTGCTCGTGCAAGCTCACCGCAATGGCCTCCGCAAGCGAATCGACTCCGCTATTAGACGATGCATCCTCATCTACACCTTCATCTTCTCGACATCTTCCAAAACCAGTGCGACAGGTTACCTTCAACCCGACCGTCACCAGCACCTCGCCAAACCGCCACTCCACTCCGCTGAAACCCAGCCTTCCCCTCCCCTCCTCCCACTCAACCCTCCCATCCCGCAATGGCTCCGCCCCCCTCACCTCCTCCGCCTCCCTCATGTCTGGCCTCAACACCAAACTCCGCCGTCGCCACTCCCAAGGCGCCGTCTCCGGCTTCCCTCCGCACCTCTCCAAAATCGGCCCCCAGCGCACCACCAAGACGGTGCAGAAGCTCAAGATCCTTCCGGACCCGCAGTACGGCGACGAAGGGCCGGACGAGGACAGCGGCCGCGACGTGTACGCGCAGTACACGCGGTTGAAAGATCCGCGGTCGCGGCGGGACGCGGCGCGGTTGACGAAGGCGGATAAGGAGCGGTTGCCGCGGGCGACGGCGTATTGCGTTGCGGGGAAGTATAAGAGTGATGATGTGCTGAGGTGGTTGAAGAGTAAGGGGCGAACGAGGGGGACGATGCCGAAGGTGTTTGATGAGTGTATCTATTCGCCGTACTCATATTCATATGGACATTCGATGTCGCGAAGTGGTGGGCAGAGCGCAAGGACGACGAGGCAGTATCACAGTCATGAGGTGGGTAATCTAAGGGGGTCGATGGACTCGCCGAGATTGGTTCCGCAGCAAGAACGGAGACATTCGGATAGTACGGTCGAGATTGATCAACCTCAGATCCGCGAACGTACGGATGAGATGATGGATTACGGCGAGTCAGGCCGCGACTCGGTCAAAGACTACCAAGAAACCCGACAATACTACGACGACACGTACTCCCCTTCGGAGACCCCCGGCGACCTCGACTTCGACATCGACGTGCCCATACCCGAGGTGTTCATCTTCGATTACGGCACGGTGGTCATCTGGGGTATGACGGCGGCTGAGGAGATGCGGTTCCTCAAGGAGCTCTTGAAGTTCGAGGAGGAGAAGATCGATAAGAGCCAGGCGCAGACGGAGGACTTTAGCTTCTATTATACCCGCGAGTACCAGTCGCGGATCTATAACGATTTCATCAGCCTCTCGGATAAGAAGAATTATATGATTAAGTTGACGATCAGCCATGCCATGGCGCAGAGCGTAAAGGTTCGCAGTCTCTTTCTGCTCTGCTCTTTTATTCGTCTTATAGGCCATCGGTATCGATCCGAAGAACTCAAGCTAACCATTCACACAGACCTCCTACTTCGAAAAACTCGTCGACGAAACTATCGACGCCTCCAAAGAACTCCCCAACCAAATCGCTGAAACCGGCAAAGCGAAGCTCGGCCGCAAACAACTGCAGATGGAAATCGGCAAGCTCTTCCTCCTCCGCATCAACATCCACCTGCAGGGCTCGATCCTCGACGCGCCGGAGCTGATGTGGAGCGAGCCGGCGCTCGACCCGCTGTACCAAGCGGTACGCGGCTACCTCGAGATGGACCAGCGGGTCGATCTGCTGATGGAGCGGGTTACGGTCATTGGCGATTTGTTGTCGGTGTTGAAGGATCAGTTGTCGCATTCGTATGAGGAGTTGTTGGAGTGGATTAGTAAGTGGCTGCACGGTGTTGTGGAAGTATCGGGGCTAATGGCGTCGCAGTTATTATCTTGATCGCGGCGGAAATCATGGTTGCTGCGATCAATATCGTCGTCGATCTGTATGCAGGGGGAGACTAGAGGCTGTGTTTCGTTGGGTAGAAAGCTTGGCTTAGCGCTCTCTGCTCTGCTCTGCCTTTCACAAGAGGCATTTTGGCATAGCGGTGCTCAGGGCTCATCTTGGAACCATTGACCTCCACTCGGGGCATGGAGTTGGTCGCGCATTGGGTGTTTGGAGCGCAGGGACGGTTGGAAATGGTTCGGAGGAGTTTAAAACCATACCGCGTTCTGGACTTCAATGTATAAATACCCAGAGCGACGAGAAAGCAATCTACTTGTACAAAACCGTTATTCACCCAAACACGTCTGACGTCTGTCCTCCCGCTGTACTTTTCTAAGACTCAACTCTCTAACTTAGACCTGAACTCCGTAGTTACTTAATCTTATCAATGTTTTCCGTAATTGCATTAAAGTTGGGGTGTGTGCAGGGGCAACCCCGACTTTCAGCCTAATTGCCCCAGGCACCAACGCCATCTCAGGGTCTAGCATTGCAGCCGCCAATCCCGAGTTATAGGTGGAACAGGTGGTTTAAACGTAGATGGAATCTATAGTTCCGTACCGTACACATATACTGTCACCACCACCGCTTACAATTAATACCCCTTTACCTGTGTCTTGGACTACTCGCCGGTACAGAACTGAATCCCAACTTCCATACCCTCGCCCTAAACCCTAGCCCTAAACGCCATGACATCTTTCCCTCCAAACCAACGATTCAGATGAGCCGGCATGAGTTGGCAGCTGTTGGAACGCTTCATCGAGTCGGATCATTTCAATAACGATCCCTCGCTTTCGGTGGCATATCTCTCGTAAGCAGACAGATGATAGCATCACCAATATCAATTCGGTACTGACAGATGTGAAGGCGGTATGCGGACCACGTGGGGATTCACTATGTCCTTTGCTCCAAGCTTCGGCAGTTCTCCTACGAGGAGATCGAATTCTACCTCCCGCAGCTATGCCACCTGCTTGTCTCCGTCGACAATGAGTCTATGGCCTTGGAAGAGTTCATCACCGATCTCTGCGAAGAATCAGTGAACTCCGCTCTCCTAGTACGGTTTCCGCCCCCAATCCCGTTCCTTAATCTGACCTCCCTATAGACATTCTGGCTCTTCCAAACCTACCTCCATGACCTCTCTGCCAACCCTCAATCCCCCTCTTTCAAATCCGCCCGCCGTATCTACAACAGGGTCCAACGCATCGTCTTCGGCGGCTCCGACTCCATCCGCCGCGACCGCATCAAAGAAAACATCCTCCCCGTCTCCGTCCTCGCCTCCCTCGTCCTCGCAACCACCGCGGCCCCATTCCTCGCCCACCATGCCGGCCCTCTCGCCATCGGCCAGGCCCGAAAACCCCGCCCCGTCGAAGACATGATCGAGGACCCCACGCACGTCCACCAGGCGCCGCAAATCCGACGAAGCCAAACCGTTTCCGAAGGCCCGTCTCGGCCACGGAAACCAAGGCCACCGCGGGTGGAGGGGCTCAACGACTCGGATCAGCGCAGACCGCGAACGATGCAGAATGGACCGGTGATGCCCGTGATTTCCTCACCCCGGAAAGTCCGCACTTTCGAAATAGTCCCACGATCGTCATCGGCAATCCTAAGGGACGAGAGTCGCTCACGGCTGAACTCCCCGTCATTGCCAGATGTGCGTGCTCCAAAAGCGGCACCGATGCCGACGCCGCCAGCAAGCGCGGGGTTGCCGCTGGCAAGGCTTCGGGAAAATCTGAATAGGCGGCACTCGCATGCGCCGAGGCCGTTGACCCCGTCGTCCATCCCGAGGCCGCAGAGGATCCGGATGCTAAGATCGAACTATTTTCGTAGCGAGACGGCGTTTTTAACCGCGTTAGAGGACATTTCGATTCGGTTGGTGGCGGTGCCGAAGCCGGCGCGATTGAGCGCATTGCGAGCGGAGTTGGCGCTGATTGCTCAGGATCTGCCCGCGGAGGTGGACATTCCGCTGATATGCCCTGCTTCGCTCATCGATGGATCGGCGTCGAAGAGTTTGCATCACCGAATTGTGCGGATCAATCCCGCGGAGGCGACAAGTTTGAACAGCGCAGAACGAGTGCCGTATCTATTGATGATGGAGGTGTTGAGGGACGATCTCACTTTTGACCCTGACACGGAGGAGAACAAGTCATTGTTGAATAAGCTGATGGTTGAGAGATCCACAACCCGACGACGGTTGTTCGACACCTCGGACGCTTTAAGAGAAGTGAGTGTGGAAAGGACATCGGAGCCGAAGGTGGACAGCGTATTCGAGCCCGAAAACGGTGATCTGGGAAGCAGCTCTCTTTTGAGAGACCCCGAGGAATCCTCCAGGCCTCGAATCCCTTACCCGACATACGGATATGCCGCACGTAGCCTCATGCCTCGTTCGTCGAGTGGCAACAACACCGCAAACTCGAACACAGCACACACGACACCGCGTACCTCTTCCTTGGAAAACAGCCGCTCCAGCAGCCCCTTGCCACGACGCATCACCATCTCCGGCTCCCGCAACACCACCGACGCGGCCGAGGTCTCTGCCCTCGCGACGCACATGCGCACCGCTGCCCAAATGCTCGCCCAACTCAACACTAGCGGCTCCAAGCGCCCCCGCGCCGAAATCGAAGCCATCCAATCCCGCATCATCGCCAGCATGCAGAACCTCGAAGAGCAGAACTTCAGCGTCTCCGAGCCCGGCAGCAACCCGTCCCCGATCATCGAACGCATCATCTCCAACCACGCCCTCGAATCCCCTTCCGACGCCCTCGATTTCGAGGACTCCCCCGACCCCAACAGTGCTTCCGGCGCCGGCGCCGCCCGCATGGAAAACGACCAGAAAACCGGCGGCCTGCTCCGGAATGGCGACCGCGACGACCCCAGCGCCGCCACCGTCGGTGAAGACTGGGCGTCCAAGCGCGAGCGCATCCGCCGCTCTTCACCGTACGGGTGGATGGCGAACTGGGACCTCGTCAGCGTGATCGTGAAGACGGGAGCCGACCTCCGCCAAGAAGCGTTCGCATGCCAGCTTATCTCCGTGTGCGCGAAGATCTGGGCGGATGCCGGCGTTGATGTGTGGGTGAAGCGGATGCGCATCCTCGTCACGGGCGAGAGTTCGGGACTAATCGAGACGATCACCAATGGCGTGAGCCTGCACTCGCTGAAGCGGAGCCTCACGCTGGCGAGCATCGCGGCGGGGAAGAACCCGCGGAAGGGGATCGCGACGTTGCCGGATCACTTCGCGCAGGCGTTCGGGGACGCGGACGGCGAGGCGTACGGCGCGGCGGTGGATGCGTTCAAGCGCAGCCTGGCGGCGTACAGCGTCATTTCGTACGTCCTCCTCCTCAAAGACCGGCACAATGGCAACATCCTGATCGACAACGCGGGGCACGTGATCCACATTGACTTCGGGTTCATGCTGAGCAACTCCCCGGGCAACATGGGGTTCGAGACGGCGGCGTTCAAGCTCACGCAAGAGTACGTCGACGTGCTCGGCGGGGTGGGGTCCCCGGCGTTCGAGGATTTCAAAGCACTTTGCCGCGAGGCGTTCTTGGCGCTGCGGAAGGAGGCGGACCGCATCATCATGCTGGTGGAGATGATGGGGCGGCAGAGCAAGATGCCGTGCTATGCGGTAGGCGTGGCACAGGTGGTGGGGACGCTGAAGGCGCGGTTTGCGTTGCATTTAAGCCGGGATGAGGTCGCGGGGTTCGTGGATGATTTGGTGGCGAAGAGTAACGGGAATTATTTCACGAGACTGTAAGTTTGTGTTTTTCCCTCCGACAATCTACGATAAGGAACGGTGCTGACGTTGTGGTATGGCAGTTATGATACGTTCCAGTATCGGACGCAAGGCATTTACTGAAGGCACACCATTTTGTACGCCTCTGAGCTTGATCAGCTCATGAGTGGCAATGCATCTGCTGGCGTTAGCTTGGGGAGCTTGTTTGGACATTGCATCGCGGAGCAACGTTAACCATTGGAAGTACTTGACATAGTCCTGTATCTGGGCTATTGGAGTCCCATAAGCGGTTATGGTCATAGATAAGTGCTATTTATCATCGTCACGGAGTTGAAGAACAATCACATTCGGCTCTCAAGCCGCTACAGCTCGTTCCGAATCCAGACATCTCATCCCTTCCATCGTCACACTACCGTAATTACCGCGCCCGTTCTCGTCACTATAACCTGCTATCCCCACCCGTCTGATACTCCGACACGTACGTCCACACCCCCCGATCGACATCCGTCGCCACCCCCATGATCTTCTTCGACCACTCTGTCGACATTACCGTGCGCTCCAGCTCCTCCATCGGCAGATTCGGACTCTCCCATTCATGGATGGCGAGGAACTTCGGCCCGGTGAACCCGGCGCCAGGAATGAGTTGGTAGCGGGTGGAACGGATGTAGCCGGTGCACTTGGCCAGCAGCGCGAGATGCTGTCGGAGTGTCAGTGAATGGTGGCTAACTTTGACGGTGAGGGGTATATACCTCCTCGCGATACCAGGCGTCCAGATCTTTCTCGGTCTCCTCAGGGACATTCGCGACGAACGTCACGATCGCCCGTCCCTTTCCCCTCCCTACTCGAGTCAATCAGCACGTTTCCAAGGACTATCAGATCTACATCCTATACCCGCATCCGCATTCGGCCCTTCATACGACTGCACGTGAATATACCCCCTGATCTCATTCTCCAACACCTCCCGCCAATCGCGGCTGGGGCCCGGCAACATGTCGCTCGTCTTTGGGATCGCGTCCATCTTCGCCGTGTCGCCTAGGAAGGCAACATCGGGCACACGGTATAGCGCGATGTAGGGGAGGGGCTTGGAGGGGTCGACGTGCTGGTAGCGGACGGCAAGGTCGCCGAGGCCCCCGTCGACGACATCTTGGAGGTGGATGGTGTCGTACCATTTGTTGTAGGTGTCAAGGGTGAGGTCGGGGTGTTTGGGTTTGGTGAGGGCGACGACGAGGCCGGGGGTAGCCATTTTGATAGATTTCAGCGGTGATATAGTACTTGTGTCCTTGGTATGGGCATTGGGGGAAGATAGAAGTGATCTAGGGATAGAATACTTTCCATGCTCTTTTTTTATATAGTCTCGATGGATGGGCACAATTTGCTTAACAATCAATAACTCACATAAGCGCCATGAACCCAGCATCCTTATACCGCCACCTACCACTATTTACTTTTTTCGGTAACCCCACATTCCCAAGTCAAGACCTCGGGACTGCACTTTAACTCAATACCAGTGACACTACTTGCCGGTGTCATGACTATCTAGTCATACCCAGAGACTGAAGTGTCCCTAGGAGAGATAGCATAAATCAGTCGTGTTATGCACAGCTTCCGGACGTAAGATTGCCAATAATTCATCAGATACCGGTACCGATACCACAGTGATTGGAGTGTAGCGCGGATCGAGGCTCTCCCCGGATTTCGATCTCCAGCTCCCCCGCACACTAAATCCCCAACATGGTACTCCGTATAGGTAGGAATTCAGCAATTAGCTGGTTTGAATAGATGTGCGATTCGATCGAGGTTGAGACAGTGTCATATTGTCAATGGTATGGAGGCAGTAGTCCCTTTTGATATGGGTTATACGTGGGACTGCTGAGAGAGTTGCGGCAGTAAACTAATTTGATTGCGCCATCAACGTGGACCTGGTTCCGCCCCTCCATCCTAGCAAATGCTTGTACTAAGTAAGTTAATTATGTACTTCCTACTAACTAGTTAGTAGGGCGAGTAAGTTAGTTACTTACCATAACTAACTTAGTTATGATTAAGTTAAGTTAGAGTATGTGCAAGGGGTTAAGAAGCAACGTCCGTGCTCCGCTACTTCATCTGTTAGACTGTTCACTGTTGGCTGTTGGCTGTTCACTGTTAATCTGTTTCAGGTACCTAAGTTATCCGTAATTTCAACGTCAACACTCAGCCTCGAGAGCTATTATCTTGCTAATGAACCTCCATCAATTCCTTCGATAATCAATGGACACCCACAGTTACGGCTGCTATAACTCAATATGAGTGCTTTCCTCATCGGTAGCAGACGATCCGTGGAGCGTCGCGTCTTATCATTCCGCCAACCTTCGCAATGTCTCCGTCCATATATCCAGCCGCGGCTACGACCTGAGAGATGCTTTTATCCGCATACACAGCAGTACTACACGAACTCCCCGAGTACCTTCATGCGTACCAAGCTTCATCACACCTATCAACATTTGCAAAGCCGCCATGGTTCGACACAGAGTCCGACGCCACGAGCAGCCGGCTCGACAGAGCCGCCCCCGGTATACTTTTCTAGGCCTTCGCCAGAGAAACCGAAAAGAGGAAGACGGGTGTTCTGGGCCATGTTACGATACGGATTTTACATCTCCATGGCTTTGGTCGGGGCGGTGAAAGGATACTTGGTAGTTGAGCCATTCCAGGCATCGGACTTTCGCCATGGCTGGGAACGGGAGTTGTATGGTTTGCAGGAGACGTACATCAACTTTCACGCTAATCGCAAAGGGTTCAGGCCTCGCGACCCCGTGTCCAACGATTTGCTATATTTGGAAGACGTCGATGCTTATTATAAGGCCTATGTGGAAAAAAAGCTGAATGAGGACATGCTCCTGCGGTGGCTGACCTGGAATAACCTACCCGAGGAGGAGGTTAAACAAAGACATTCGGAGATATCCGCGGAACTGGCGCGAGGCAATGCTCAGAAACAGGCAGGGTTGGTCGAGTTTATACCGGACGAGGAAATGCGACGCCAAGTAAACATTCTGCATAAAGAGCTGAGCAAGCAGCTTACTGCAGAACAATACAGGGCCATACTTGCGGGCCCTCGCGGCGTTGGCCCATCGCGAATGTTCTCTAGTAAAGGTCCTCAATACGGACTAAGCTACACAAAACTTTTGTTCCTAGGAGATCGAGTGTGTGGATGGCCTGGAGTTGTGCATGGAGGCGTCATTGCCACACTCGCGCAGGATTTCGCAGCGGTAATCATTCCTGACCATCCCAATATTCCACACTCCTCTGCTCCGAAGACGGTGGAAGTGAACTACAAGAAAATTGTACGTGCAGACTCGGCGTACGTCTGCAAAGCCCGACTAGTGGAAGCGCAAATTCAGCCACCACCGATTCGGGATCCTCCCAGATGGGTTGTCGAGTTCACCATCGAGACGCTTAGCGGCCAGCTGTGTGCACACGCGCGGGTTACGTATGATAGAGAGAATTTCAAGAAGAGCATGCCCATTTGGGCGCGAGTGCAACAGAACGAAATTGCAAAGATTTGTAAAGAAAAGAACCTCGACCGCATCGATATACCGGAACGCTCCGATGATCCGGCTATGGAGGAACTACCAGTGGCAGTGTGGGACTGGGTGTCAATGCGAACGAGATGATTATGCTCGTTTGGGGCCTTTTCTAAGTCTTTCACGATTCTATATATGAAACTCCAACACATCCTCAACTTTGGAGTACCATGATTCCACCCGGAAGGATCCCTCTATCAGACGGCAGCACCATCTCGAACGCCTCTCGAGATTCCCAGATCTCTGCAGAGTAATACTCGGCATGCAATTCCTCCTTTGCCAGTTCTGGGTTCTCCATAACCAACTTCTGAAACTCGTCCTTCGAGTTCAACTTCTTCGACTTCACTTCAATCCACTCATCCTCGTCCATATTCTTCTCCGGATCACTATTCATCCTTTTGGCAACCGCTATCATGACCATGCGCGCCCAGAACGACGCCTCGGTCATCCCAACCCCCTGTATTTCATGAAGCTCCCGCACCGCCTCATTGACAACTGTCGATAGCGCCATGGGATCGATGTCATTGACTTCATTGACAAGGCTCTCAAAGATGAATTTGATCTTATGCGCATGACTCCGATCACTGGCCGTTTGATCAACCTGCGGCAATTGTTCCACCTCATGAAGGAGCATTCTCGCCCGAAACAACGAGAATGCCCGCTTAGCGACGCTATCCTCGTCAAGAACCTTGTAGGGCACCGCAACCATTTTTTCCGTGTCATCGTCCGTAAGCGATGACACTTGCTGCATTGCTCCGAAAGTAATCATCTCATGGAGGCGAGCCCCAGATCCACGCAGGACATCCGGAAGTGGATTCTTATCCGACGTCACAAATTCCACCCGAGCGAGCACGGAATTCCACAGTTTCTCGCTATAGTACCTACGCCACAGCGACCCTTTGAAGTGGCCCTCGAAGACTGTGCAAAAGCTGGCGTAGTCGATATCCTCCAGAGCGACGGAAAGGGTACCGGAGCCATCATGTGGTTTTTCCCCTGTGGTAACGCTGGACTCTCTATGGATCAGGGATCCGAGTGCGGCATGGACCATTTGCAGCCAGAAATATAGATGAGTGATGGAATATGTCGGCATATTGCTACAGCCCCTTGCTCGAGCTTGGTAAATGGTCGATTGCAGGGACGGCAGCGCTTCTGTGATCCGCTTCCCTCGAGGTGTGCCGGGGTGCGTGAGGTGGTACTTCATGAAATGGAAGGCGAACTCGATCATATGCTCTTGGTCCGCATCCCCCCTTTTTTGAGGAATTACCCGAGCGCGTTCCCGTTGCTCGATTGGGAAAGTGATGATCGGTAGGCGCTGCGTGTCAGGCAGGATCCAGGATTCTTTGCCGCCAGGGAACCAGGTGATATCCTCTGGATAGTATTTCATCCAATGCGATGTGTCCATCAGTGATGGCCTGAGGAGGAGGACTTGTTGGAATTGTCCTGGCCCGGGCATCTCGAGCATGCCGTTTTTGGACTTGTATTCCTGTATTGCAGCATATAGGCAATATAACCAGAACATCGTCAGTGTCCTTTTTTGAGTTCAGCTTCCCTTGCCGTATGAACGGGTTTACGAGTCTTGCGTACCTGTTAGCAGTGTCCCTGAACCGTTTCGGGTTCTTCTCCTGAAGTCTCTGCAGATGCTCTAGGAAGTTGTCGGTTGCTTTGTGCACCCTTTCCGTCTGCCGAACGGTTTGCAGCAGGATTAAATATCCCGCTCTCAGATGGGCACGATGGTCCCATACTTCAAGATCCCCGGAAAGGAATGCCGCCCAAAACCTTTCCGAAGGCTCCTCAATCGCCCCCGCGGCCTTGATGGTCCTGACCAGTTCATCTTCCAGAAGTGGCTTCGGTGGGCTAGGACCCGTTTCATCTGCCACCGCCAAGCTCCTGTTGTTGTGGTGTATTCCACTCAAGACCTCCTCGAAGACGTCCCAAACCCCCTCTCCAGTGTAAGCACTGCAAGCCAGACAACTCACCACCTTCGGTTCCACATCCATATACTCGGTCAACCGATTCTCAAACACCCTTATCAACGCTCTCAGCTTCTCCGCCCTCTCTTCCTCCTTCAACATATCCACCTTCGTAAACACCACCCACAACCCCTTCGCGCCTGCGCCTCTCATCTGCGCCACATGATCCCCTAGCACCTCTAGACTGAACATCAACCGCTCCTCATCCACCGTCACATCATGCAGAAACAGTGCGGACGACTCGCGCTTCACGTAATGGTGCATCGGGTAACGTAGCCCGTCGCAGCCGCCCAGGTCCCAGACGTTCAGCGTGCGCCGTCGCTTGGAGATGGTGGCTGTTGAGGGGTGCACAGCGTGGTGCAGGGGCGGGTCGGCCAGTGTGATGTCCTCGACATTGTAGCCGATGGTTTGGATGGTTCGGATGCGGGTATGCGTCTTCCAACGGTACAAGAGGGTGGTTTTGCCCGATGAGTCGGCGCCAAAGAGGAGGAGACCGGGAGAGGGGTGGGAGGGGAACGGGTTGAGCCAGGGGGGAAGGGTAAGGGGCATGCTTCTAGATGTATCTAACAAGGTCGTGTGAGGTGGAAAATATGGTTTGAGGAACGTAGGACGGATATAAATGCACTGGATTGTATGGACTAGAGATATCTGACGTCCCACGTCGGGATAGGAGAGACGGCAGCTATGGAGGATGGATGTTTGCTGTCTCAAAATAAGGAATGGAGAATAATTATTGGCATTTGAGGTTGTACATTTGATTTATTTAATCTTTCCCGAGTTACATCTTGCAATCTGGCATTATTGAGAGAAATCCTGTTGACTTGAAGGCGGTAGCATTTCGAGTCACTGTACTCCAGCTAGCCCCTGCTTGGTGGCGTGGCGGACGATCGTCAAACTTGCACTGACGAAGGATCAAAGAATGTCATGGTTTTCGAGCCTCGAGGCGAAGCTTACGCACGCAAAACATCCTAGATATCAAACAAAATTCTCTAATATGTCAGTAGTAATACTACCACCATTGCGGAGTGAGGTCTTCAGGCTCCAGATTTATCCTTGTATGTGACAACATCCTGGTCGACCGTCCCGTTCTCGTCCACAGCTGCTCTCGATCTCAATCGGATGGGAGTTCATTGGCTGCAGGACGGATTGACTTTGAGGAGCCACCAGACCTCTCTTTTGCTCGTCAAACTTTCTCTTAAGTGTCACTTGTCGCCACGTCATAAAAGCGACTGCTCCTAGCGCCATAGCTAATCCAACTCCGAGTCCGACACTCACACCCACTGTAGCAGTGTTGTTGCACTGCGCTGGCGGCCCTCCTCTGTAAGAAGGACAAGTACTGCTATTCGTATCTCCGTTGAGGAGAAGAATGCCAATGGGTTCGTCCCGAATAAGGAGCGAGGTGTTTTGGCAGCAGCTGTTTGGATCCTCCCAGGCTCTACAGCACCAAACCCCGAGGTCGCATGGCTGAACAAAGTACGTCTGCGTTGACGTGCCAATATACGGTACAACTGCATCTTCGCCGTTAATAGCGCACTTAATCTAGCTTATGCACCCCAAGGTTCCATGTGCTCTTACTGGAATCGCAATAATGCGGGCAATCCGAAGATTCTCCCGTCGGATCAGTACATCCATTTTGATAAATCATACCCGCCTGCCAACCGATGGTAGCCAGACAGAGCCCACTCGAGAGACAAATGTCTGGGAACTGCTTGTTTGTTCCACAGCATGCGCTGTGTGTTGCTGAAGGCGAGCAAGGCTGAAATTCATCATTGTTCCATGGATCACCGCTGATTCGATGGCATTCAGAGTTCACAGATGTAACAAGCAAGAAGATTAAAATTAGCAGGCGGCGAAAGAGGATATGCGGAAGCTTGACCATGTTGGAGGACCAGGTTGGGACGATCGCAAACCAGTGTCAAACACACTACAGACATAGTATCAAGAGTGCTCATCCATTTTATAGAGGGCATGTAAAGTGCTTGAAGCCAAGCCTTATCTGCAAGGCTTCAGAGCTGAAGGCTAATATGAGGAGACTCATAAGGCTGGAGATATGGTTGGCAAATAACCCTAGCCTTTACGGTTGTGATGAATTCAGGTTTGCTCCTTTTGGTTGGCAGAACATACCGGATTGGAGCAGATAACTGCTTGATGCTGGACTGATCACATCCGGCCTGTTGACAGGTTGGTTATGGCCCTGAATTCAGCAGCGCGTCAGTAGACCTAACTGCTGCAACAAGAGCCATAGAACTCTAGAAATATAGAAACATCAGTCGGGGATTATTTAGTATGGTAATTATGGTGGTTGATTTGGCAGTTTGTAGCTAACCCCCGGGGAGTAATGAACAGTCCCATCAGGGAGATGCTGCATGGAATCCGGATATCGACTCTCCCTGACTTGCCATTCCTTTTTCTCTTTCCTTTTTACAATTTTTTCGACTTTATGCTATTAGTATTTTCTCTAATAATGCCTATAAAGGTGCTCAAATGAATCAACCTTTTCAATCCCAAGCTTTAGTTGCCTCAACAGCACTGATATGACTGTCGTTCAAACTTCACAAGGCTGAAATGCTTTATGGTAGCCAATAGGAAGCTTTGAAGACAACCTTGAGCGGGTTCCAAGATTGATCCGAACCAGAAACATCATTTGACTTTCCCCTGCTCGAAACAACTTCCATTGTATTCCAATCGTTCATGCGCCGGATAGCTGCATATAAATGAAGGCATTTCATTCGATGTCTCCTCACCGGTCCGCATAGTCCCGCATCTTGTGCAACAATATGCATGGAATGATACAGCCTTTCTGCCATAGGTCAGATGAGTCCTGTCGTACTACCACGTGGTTAGGCAGAAATTATATGCCTCAGCCGAAATGGAGATCCATTGTGATCGAATCCGATGATTTTGCTCCTAGGCGGACGTGTTTTGAACCCGGCTTTGTTCACTCAATCAAAATAAGCTCCGAACATTGCACAGTATTGAAACGGCAAACGATAGCTGTCTATGGGTACGTACCGAATTCTTGTCGACTACCTACACCTGAATATGAAAGGTGACGAAGTCTTTGCAAATTCTCTGTGCAGCAAGTTATTTTTTCAATATGCTCTTGGAGTATTGTCTGAGCATATGAATTGCCGTCGGTCTCCTTCAGTTCGTGTATTGGGACTGCTGGGACATCTCAAATTTCTCTCTCTGCCGTTTTGATAGCAATGATTTTCTACAAGATCAGTAATCGGATTGTATTCCCTACCGCCTGAATGTGTTATCAGAGGCAGCAGCTTGGCCCTCCACTATGTATATCTTATACGCTCATGTTGAACGTACCGATAAAAGTAACTCATGGAGTCTCTCCTCAGGTAGCTTAGAAGAAAAGGACTATACTGTAGAGTTTCCATACGAGTTGCAATGTTTGTGCCAGTCACCGTCCGAGTCATTTACGAATATAATATCAAAAGCTCTCTCGGACAAACAACTTCGATACCGGTTGGAATAAAATGTACTCAAAACATCCACGCTGAAGAATCAGCATTTTGGATGACTAGCCATATCAACTGTCAGGAACACAATGCCTGCTTCATCTTGAACGACCTGGGTCCATATTCGATGTTCGAAATGTTTGCAAAACGGCAGCCTAGTATCCTGTTTCCTGTGCTCTAGAATCGGATGGCAAGCAAGATACAGCAGTCACAAGAGATCTTGCAGTAACCATAAAAGGAGACAGTGCGGCAATGAAGACTGTCCTATATCATCTTCATTTTCTTACCTAGGACATTCGTTAGCACTCTGTTTTCCACACCTGCATTGATTTTAGCGGCCCGGAGAAAGTCGCGCCGGGGGCCGCTTATGTAGGTTCGGTTACTATGTTTACGCTCGTCGCCTTGGTTTGCTTGTATTTATTTATTAGAAAGCAAAGATAAGTCCTAGCCGGGACTGCTGTCATTTCCTCGTTCTCGACGTCCAAAGGTGTCGGTTCATACCTGGTTGAGGCGAGGTGTGGAGATAGAAAAACAAGCTAACGGAAACGACGAGGTGGACACTAAACAGATTGCACCTGAAGACGAGGAATGTATCCATATTGGCGATGAGGAGGAATAGGAGATGTAAGAAGTTCAAATAGCAACCTGGGGCCGAGAACTAGGAGACTTCTGCTTCAGAGCAGGCAACGACCAGCGCGGGCACTTGTTGAACAATGGACAGGTTGGGGATACTATCGTTCAGCTTCCGATCATTTCATTGCATATCAGCAAATCCATACTCCGTACTCCGGATCATCTTTGGTGAGGACATTCCATGGCGGGAGTCGAGTGTTATGGAGTGGGCTTTCAAGACTTCTGAGCCTTGAGGACTGAAGTCGTCAATGGGACAGGGATACTTCCGAGTAATGGGGGGAGGATCCTGCGGCCAGGGTAACAGGTTGTGTAACATCGTCGCTTTTGTTTCTTTTGAATAATATGAACCAATGTCGGATGAGGAGTTTGAAACCTGATTCGCAAATTCCGGGCAGGTGGGCCTGAAGGGGTGACTCCTTGAAATTTAACTATTATTCGAGTCCTTGATATTTCGATTCTATGTGTGGGAACGATCTCCCCTAAGCTTCAAGGGCTCCACCCGGCCCCAGCCAAAATATAGTTCACCAGGAGATAGATATGACTAGGACCAATCACAGAGCATCCGAAGTCGCGATCGAATCGCTGGATTCAACGTCAGTCGTGAGTCGTCAAGTCTTTGACCTCCAATCCTTCCATCTTCTCCACCAACCATGAATCCATGTCGTGTGCAGTGTCATCCATGTACATCACTACCTTACCTAGGTGCCGGTATCTCCTCCGTATCGCGACTCGCTGACCATTTGCATTACAGTTGAATCCCAGAGAGAATCCTGGAGAGGCGTGTTTGGAGTCCGGAGTGTCCAATTCCATGTCAAGAACCATCCGATCAGCTCCAGGTTTACCAAGTCCGGTCCCTCGATGCCGGATGGAGTGTGTACTACATCAAGAGCTGGAACAACTGCTGAACCACAGTCTCCCGAAAGTCATTGGACGATTGGACGGAAAGGCGTTGATAGCCGTTGATGGCTGAACGCTAAGGTCGGCTGCTATCATGGCGCTGCCTCATGCCTGTGTTCCCTTTCAATCCCTCCACCCTAATCGGATCAACCCCGCTACCTCAACCCATCAAACAACTTACAACCGTCACACACATTCGTGCCCAATGTGCGGGTGTGTCTCCGCCTGTCCTCTTGTCACCTGCGTCGTTCTCGTATTGTAGCCAAACTCTCCTCCAACTATTGTCATTTATCGATGATCATCACTCATTCTCCTGGATATCGTTGGTATTCCTGAAGCGACTAGCAACCCGTGAAATTTATAATCTATGCCGCCTGATCACGGTTATCAGCTTCTGCTACACTCCGTATGGCAGCAACTGTTACGATCCCTTCACCTTCTTTATGCTTAGATTCGGCTGCAGGCACCTCATCGCCTGCGATTGTTTCCCTAGACCACCACAACCCCCAGGACTCGGCGCTGTTGAAGCGCAAGAATGAAGGCGACTCGACCGCTACGAAGCGTCGCTCGCTGGCCATGGAGACGATCCCTGCGACGAAACCGGAGGGCGTGTCGAAGCGGAAACAGAGCAAGAGCAGGAACGGTCAGTTTGTTTGCCTTATCGCGTTGCGTCAATTGCAGCTCGATTGCAATTCGAGCATATGGGAACGAGCTCATTGATGTGGTTACCGTATAGGCTGTATCACTTGCAAAGCAAAACGATTGAAGTGCGATGAGACCAAGCCAACCTGCCAGCAGTGCGCTAAAAGGAACGTCTCATGTGGTGGATATAAGAAAGATTTCAAATGGAGACCTTTCGAGGAAGGGAGTTTCGCATCTAAGCAGTATACTCCGCGAGCAAGGAAAGGTATTAAAGCTTACTTGGAATGGTGTCATGGCAAGAAAACTAACATCGAGTGCAGTCGAGTCTTCGCCACTGAGCGCATCTAGGCAACAGAAAGTCAAGTCTTCTCCGCCTTTAGCAGAAGCGAAGCCTGTTGAAACGAAGAGCATTCCGACCTTGCCCCCTACTTCCACTGCCTCTATCGATTTACCGTTTCCTAATGTTGAGGATTTTGTGGCGTCAGTAACACGCGATGCAGAGATTTTGACTGTTAAATCCGAAGACATTCCGGATACTAAGAGCTTCCTAGACCTCCCAGAGATGCTTGATGAAGACCAGATGGATTCATTCCAGCATATTACTAGCGGCGAGACTGATTCGAGTTTGGCAACCGCGGCGACTCGAGACCAAATGCCTTGCGGGCTGTTTGATATTGTCAACGCAGACCTATGTGTCTCATTACATGATGACTCCGGGTTCCTAGACGAAATGCATGATTTTATCGACCCGAGACTCACCAGCGGTGCTTTGCTCCATCCCGAACTTCCAGACAATGGGAACGAAAATGTGGAGGAGGTCGTCCGCCATGACATGATGGATCAGTCCTTGACTCGGCTCGATACCGCATCGTCCTCTAGTGGGTCATCCATCTCAATGGATCTCTTCATGCAATTCCTTGTCGAGCCGCGATTCTCGCTTGAGAGCCAAGAGATGATCGCTTTACGCTTTGATCGAGATACATGCGGCGTCTTATCGGTAAAAGATGGTCCAACGGAGAATCCATGGCGAACACTCATCTGGCCTCTTGCTCACCATTCATCGGCACTATACCACGCATTAGCATCGATGACCGCATTCCACACCTCGGCTGTGGAGAAGAAATATCGATATCAAGGCCTGCAGCATATGCGCATGAGTCTCAGCGACCTAGCTAACAGCATCGCGAAGATTCCCACAGAGACCGCGATTGCTACAACGCTGGTGTTGGCATTCGCTGAGAGCTGGGACACTCACACCTCGACAGGTATCAACCACATCCGCGGCGCAAAAATCCTCATCGACAATGCCCTTGCCGAACACCGCGCCCACCCGCTCGACCCCTCCAGTGCCTCCTTCCAGCGCCTCAAATTCCTCTGCAGCACCTGGGTGTACATGAACGTACTCGCGGGCCTGACCACTGACCAGAACACCCCCACGGCGTCCAACACCCTCATAACCTCCAGCTTCGATACCCACGGCTTCCCCCCCTGCAACCGCCCCTCCACCCCCACCGCCGAGGACTTCAACGACGCCGAGAAGTTCATCCTCTCCACCTCCTCTCCCCCCTTATCCGCCGGCTCCGATGTCTCCCTCGACCCCCTCATGGGCTGCGCCTCCAACCTCTTCCCCCTCATCGGCCGCATCGTTGCCCTCGTCCGCGAGGTCCGCAGCTCCCCGAACCCCCCATCCGGCCGCTACTCCAACTCGCCCCGCATCATCTCCGCAGCGGTCGACCTCCGCGCTGCGCTGAAGCAGTGGGTCCCGCCCTCGTTCTTTGAGACCCCCGAGGACCCCACCAGCCGCATCCAGCACAGCCTGCAGACCGCAGAGGCGTACCGCATCGCGACGCTGCTGCACCTCCACCGCGCGGTGCCGGAGATCCCCGCGCCGCCGGCGCTCGCGCTGGCGAAGAAGATCCTGGAGCTGCTGGCGACGGTGCCGTTGGGGAGCCGGGCGGTGGTGGTGCAGATCTTCCCGCTTATGGCGGCGGGGGCGGAGGTGAAGGATACGGAGGACCGGGATTGGGTGGCGGCGCGGTGGCAGGCGATGTGGGGGCGGATGCGGCTGGGGATTTTGGAGCGGAGCTTGGAGGTGTGTCGGGAGGTGTGGGCGCGGCGAGACGAGGTGGAGTCGCGGAAGGGGGAAGGGGAGGGAGGGAGGTTGGGGAGGGTGGTGCAGGATGTGAGGGGAGGTTGGTGTGTAGAGGAGCCGGATGGGGATGTGTTTGGGTATGAGGAGATGGGGGTGTCGGGGCTGACGATGACGAATTTGGCGGAGATTGAGGAACAGGGGATGCGGATGGGGAGGGGAGGGCTTGAGGGGGGAAAGAGGGGCCCCAGTAATGAGGGTTGGGATGATGGGAGGACAGATCCGGAATATAGCGTTCGTGGATCGCTGCATTGGTTAGGGGTAATGAAAGATTGGAACTGGGAAGGTCAGTACATCTGCATGGTTCTTTGTTCATGTTTGTCACTAACCGGTCGACAGTATTGCTTGGTTGATATCAAGACTAACGAAAATCTACACGACGTTACGAGTATTGTCCAGTAGGCTCCATGCCGGCTCTTGTCATGACCTCGCAAGGTGTCTGGAGTATCTTAATCGCTCAACTATGAGCGCCTAGCAACTTTGGCTAGGGTTAGAAAATTGTGATTAATAACTATGGATAGACCTATTAAGGTCCAACGGGTTTTAGAATATCAGAAGCAGCTAAGGTTCGTTTAAGGTTGAACAGATAGAGAATCTACGATGATATATCGTCTCTACGAATATAATAATCAGGAAGCATGATATTGCTTTTGAGTATTAGAATTCATTAACCTAAATATCCAGGCCACTTTCGTCGCTCCGGTTCTCCTATAGATCTGTACAAGCTGTCTCTCCCAGCTGTCCATGCGTTCGTAAGATAAGAACGCTGATGAGTGTACCTTAACACTATACCATCCTATCTCGTCCATGCATCGATCTTGGCGTGTCAGCTTGCTCCAAAGAGAGGACAAGCTTGATCAGCCGCAGAATCGTCGGACATCAGGGCGAGTCTCCGCTGCCAGTTGCCTTTCTTCCGCGTTCTGAACCGACGAAGGTCGCATATTGGACGGGTAGCCCTCAGGGGTTGCTCCACCAGCACTGCATCTACCGACGTTCCTGGTCGCCTCTCCATCTTCCGAACGCCATCCAAGGGTATTCACTTCCCCAAGTCCTTCTCCACCATCCCCGCCGTCACCACCTTCACCTCCTCCAGCGGCCGATCCTCCTTGTCCGTACGCACCAGCCCCATCCGCTGCACGATCCGCATGCCGCCCTTTACCCGCCCGAAAATCGTATGCTTCCCATCGAGCCACGGCGTCGGCGCCAGCGTGATGAAGAACTGGCTTCCGTTCGTGTTCGGCCCGCTGTTCGCCATGCTCAGGATGCCCGCGCCCGTGTGCTTGAGCGACGGGGAGATCTCGTCATCGAAGGTGTCGCCGTAGATGGAGCGGCCGCCGCGGCCGGTGCCGGTGGGGTCGCCGCCTTGGATCATGAAGTCGGGGATGATGCGGTGGAAGACAACGTTGTTGTAGTAGCCGCGTTTGGAGAGCTCGAGGAAGTTCTTGCAGGTTTTCGGGGCGTGCGCGGTGTAGAGTTCGATGGTGACGGTGCCCTAGATTCGAAGATTAGAAGATATCGTGATCGAAGCGGACAGGGCGGGGTACCATCGACGTTTCTAAATAGACCTCAGAAGCCATGATTCTCTACAATATTCCCGAGTAACGGAATCGAAATTGATGGTTAGAGGGTCTTGCAAGCTTTCCTGAAGCTTTCAATCAAGTGATGATGATGAAGTTGGTGGAACGAAGGGTCGAAAGTGCGGGACAATCTTCAATCCTATTACATATTAGTGGAGTGCTCCGCTCTAAACATTCGAATCGGCAATCCATTTGTCGTGCTCGGGCAGCTCGTAAGACTTTAAAATGGGTTACCGAGTACGCTTCTAGGAAGAGGATAATTGATTTCTTGGTGAATGCTGCATCTAGCAGTATAGTCAATCAAAGTTCAGAACCTTTAATTAGGGGTCAAAGTTTAGATCGTATTGGCTGGGGATCAAGGTATCCATATTGGTTATGGTAGTATGTATACTCCCCAGTCCCCACAAAGTCATATCCCCTAGTAATCAGAATCCAGTAAGACGAGCAAAGTTTCCATGGATAAATTGCAAGACAGTCCTATACAATGCGAAGGATTTGTGACTCTGCACCGTCGAAACTTGCCGTATTATAAATCTCAAAGAAACCAATCCGGCGAAAGACTTCTCCCTTACAAGGCACCAGGACCAGGCCCTCCACATTGTGTCTCTTTCGCCTTGATATTGTCTCAACGCTGATAGCCAGACAATATATTCTTGGCTCTCTAACGGGCTCCAGTGCATCCCAAATACCCTCGCCGTAGATGTAGGGTTGCTCCTGGGACTGGGGATCAAGTAGGTGGAAATCCGTCAAGTCCCATTCCGCGGACTCGCACCACCTGCACTCCAAGACCAAACCTTTAACCGTGAGGACTCCTGATTCGATCGGTTCGAAATTGAATCTTGACGGTTGAGATACCCCAGTGTATGTTACGACGCAAGAAACCACCTCGAAATGAAACGACTCCTGGGGTACTTCGTCGTCGGTGCTTACGACCTGCCCGTCGACAGAAGCCCAGCTCCAGGATGGTGCTCGATATTTAGCGGGTCGTGGTAGTAGTAGGTTCCCCGGGCCTTCTGTTCCTGGAAGTTTGGATGAGCTCTGCGCCTCAGGGCTCCGTTGCCACTGAAGGTCGAGGATCAGATATTCCTTCCAAAGACCAGCGAGATATGTCCACCCATTGGCCTTTGAGAGCTGGAGGGCAATGGCAGAGATTGCAACGAGCTTATCGTTTGGATTAGTCATTTTACGACTCGTATACTCTGCTCTAATGTCCAGCCAACATTGACGAGCGGAGTCATCTGCTACAGGACCGTCGTCCGAGGCGGGAGCGTGATTGAAAAGGAACAGTGGAAACATTGTAGGTGCATCAGGGGGACCGTTGGGATTTTCTTCGCATGCTTTGCATTTCCACTTCAGCCCGTCATGCGCATAGATAAGACAACGGGGGGATAAGATCCGCTCTTGCAACGTCCACGCCCTGGAATTGATCGGGTCCCTGGATGGTTTATAGTAGGATCGATATCCCAAGATGAGAGAGTCATCCAAAAGACCTAGAGGAATCTTGAATGGTTCAATGAAGTAGCCAAGGTCATCTGGGTTCTTAAAAATCCCATCAGTCGCAGCGGAAGAGTTCGCAGCGACTATGGTTAATGCACTGCCAGCATAGATTTGATCCATTCTTGAGATCTCACCAAGTTTTCCAGCGCCGGAGTCTTGTATGATGCATAATGCATCTACCCAAAGGTACGAGTACCCTAGTCGTAGAGTCACCTTAATTCCATCCGCAATGGTCTTCGGGAGTAAGGAGATGTCCAGACCGATCAACTTGTCCTTCAGCGTGTCCTGTGTTAGGGCATAGGGTTGATCTTTGCCCCAAACGTAGCTGAGAGTCGCATAGACTACTGGATTCTGTTGAGATACTGACTTACGATACACTAATCGAGGTGCCAAAGGGTCGGTCAAATCGATAAGCATAGTAGGAATCGTAGATAGGGATTCGTTACGATCAGCGACGCCGAGGGAGCAGGCTGAATGATGGGAACAGTTCGCAAGCCAGGATTTAGCAAGTTGAAACCATTGATGCGACTCCAGGCTCAGGTTGATTCCAGATAATCCACCGTGACTAGAACAATTGTTGGCTACCGCTGTGTCAGTAGTAGGTAATTTCATGGAGGACGCACTTACCAGTTACCAAGCTCGTCTCAAAGGTCAATCTAATCGATGTATCACCCTTCATTTCCGATAACCTCTTGTTTTTACACATATCCGCACCGTTCCATGATAGTTCGGTCTTTGCTGCAAGAACCCCAAGCACGAACTCCTCACTAGTTGGACTCAATGAGATCGCAACACTCATATGACCATCAAAACGTGCGAAGTCAGACAGGGACAGTGTTAGATCATCCTGATCTTGACTAGCTAGGTCTAACTCAAGATCGTCCTCCCCTTGGTCCATGGTCCCCAGGCTGTTCTCGTGTACATCGCTTTGGTCGACCTCAACCTCTTCGATTGGTGCATCTTCATCGCCCTCATCAAGCATACTACTGCCATCAGAGTGGCTCCCATCCCACTGCTCATACCAATAATCCAGATGTGCTGCGGACAGCACCCCTCGGACCAAGCCGGTACACCACATGCACCCTTCCAGTACCGATTGGTGAAATTCGTTCGTTTGTCTTGAGTAGGCGAACGTTCCCAAATCCTTCTCTTTCTCAGGTCGTAGTTCGTAGCGAGATGCGGCTGAAAAGACGTTGCTTTGGCAGAATTGGCAGATATTTGGCTTATCATCACCAGCCTCGTCCTTCTCCGGTGGAGGAATATCGACATGGTTGGGCGGCACGTACGTTCCGTGACGAGATAACATTATGGATATCCTCACATTTGAATTTCATAGCGGGGAAAGGACCAATTCAGCCTGAAGCCTGAACCGGTCCCTGGTATGGAGCGCTGTTGCTGCGAATCGTATTATGACCGGATCTGATGTCAAATGTAACCAACTAAGCTAAATCCCCAAAAAGGGACGCCCCTACTAGGAGGCTAGTAGAAGGGCAGATATAGCTAAGGTAATTTTCCTGT